TCACCTACACTGCGAGTTTATTTTCATAATATCCGTCAAATTGGCTTATTAATATTCAGCCAAGTACGGAAACAAAGAATCAATTATCGTTGGAAATGGGATTCTGTTTGCCGTCGGTATCATTTGAACTTTCAACGAACGCCACGACGACTTTTTATTCCAACTTACTGAGACTTGCGGTACAAGCGATTCTAGTGCGTGAATCGATTCTGTAGCTACTGAGCTTTTGCATGCATTCACTCAGGCATACTTCAATCTACATTCAGTTGTACATTCAATTATCAATGAATTGTAATATCAAGCATTCAACATTGAAGCAAAAGTTGTGAACTCTATTTCTAGAAGGTTCGTAAAACATTTTCTTATAACATTTCAAAGCAAAAGGTTTGTGCATAATCGCTTTCAGGATGTCTCATTCATCTTGCGTTCCCGATTGCAGCAGAAGGCCCAAATACTCCCGATCCAAATAATGTAGTCAAGCGAATGTTGTCATCTTTGAGCACTGATTGCCAAATTTATGGCAGGCTCTATCAGTACTTGCCACCCAATCGCAATTGCCCGGAAGAGGTAAATCTATGGCTTTGCCCCTCCCCAAAACTCAAAGCTGTATAAAGGAGGCGAAGCGATCAAGTATCATACGTTGAGATGTCGTACGCACTCGCATTCTACACTTAGAGCTGCACCAGAGAAGTGGTTCCTCTCGAGAATCAACATGCGAGGATGTCGTCAGAAACCGATGCTGTAATGAACGTCATTACATAGCAAAGGTGAGCATTTTTTTATTTCGATTTTTCATTTTGTAAGGATACTGATAAATTCATTAGTTTTACAATTATCATTTGTTTCTGTTTTCTGTTCAGCATTTGAATTGTGGAATACTCCTCTCCTTGATGATGTGTGAGTCTGATCCTTGTCGGAGGAGCACCTATTATACTTCAGGTACTGCACATAAGAGAAAGAATGTTGCGAACTGAAGTCAGCAAAAGTCACTGAAGAAGGATTGTTGTTGGAAGATGAATTTGACGTCACGATATGCAGCGATCTGGAGGATGATGAGGATGGACCAGTAGTAGGGCAAAGGAGAAGGAAACGATAACGGGACTGATAAAGACAGAGGATATGTTAACGATCCTCATCGCCAACGAAAAGAAAAGGTCTGAAGATTATGAGCGCCTAACGCAATCTCATCAGCGCCAAGAAGTAGTTCAAAGGGAAATGCTTTGGATGCCCACGGTGCAAGCAAAGATTCACATTTTACATGGTTCACATGTGTGTATATGTGCCGCAGTACATTGTACCCCCATTCTCACATTTCTCTTTTCAATTAATTGCTATCGTAGGCCGACCCCCCCCCCCCTAAAAGCGTTTGGAATGAGTGTGTATAAAGAGAAGAAGAAGCGAAGAACTCGTCCCGGAGAAGGACAGTGCGTATGCGTTTTGCGGCGCCTCACTCTTATTCGAGGACAAGCTCTTTGGAGCCGGAGCGGTCGCCGCCCAAGAGGGAGCCGACTCCCCCAAGGATCAGACGGACAAGAAGATCGCCAATGATCCCCCAGGTGCCGCAGTCGTGGCCGCGGTTATCGGCGGACTTTCCTCAGTGAAAGTTCCGGAGCCGACGCCCACCGCAGAAGTCTTGCCTCAGGTGAATATTTCAATTTGGATGCGCCACTAGCGGATCCTCATACCCGAACATCGACGATGTTCGGCTGATCACCGCAATCGCGAAGGGAAATAACGTCAATCGTCGCCTTCTTCGCGAGTTTGACAGCGAAACTCGCTGTCCCCAGTCGTACAGACCCGCATTAAGCTTGCTTCAGCAGCTTACACAGCCTTCAATTTCAGGTATCCGTCCATGAGCACGTAGTCCTGCTCATGGACGAATACCTGTATAACAACCTCGGTGAACAATTTCGCAGTCTCTTCACGAAAGAGATCTTCGCGCCGAAGGAAAAGAACTTCATGGGAACGAAGAAGGAGCACCTAGTGCCCTTGTTGGTCATCTATGAGTTGAAGGCAGTCCAGAATTGTATCACAGAAGCCACTATATGACATCCATCTCGTAGCCGCCGTTGCCGGATACGGAAGGACTCCTGGAACCGATCGACTGCCTCTACACGCTCTACTACAACATCAACCATCGCCATCATGCGGTTAATATCCGTCTAACAGAGCTACTGTATCTTCTATCGATAGAGCTTCAGCAGAGGCTCATTCTAGCCCACTACGGAGTCGTACTGGAAAGGTGGTTGGCTCAGCTCAACCTTACATCCGCCATAATGGTTGCAGAGATGGAGAGCATTTGACATTAACATCGCCATTATGCGCAGATTCAAAGCGCATCCCCAAGAGTCACATGCACAGTACGGCAGCTACAGCTCAACGGAGCACCCCATCCAAGCGCCCACATTCTCGTTCTCGCACACTACGACACGTGACGTCCAGGAAGAGGTACCTACTGATATCGCGCAACTGCCGTCCAGATCCTCTGCTCTATCCCGATTTCGATCCGCGAGAGCTCCTAAGAAGTGCCGATTGGGACCAGGGGTAAGTTCCACATCGCTTCGCCGCTTTATACGTCACCGCCCCCCCCCCCAGGATGGGGCTCTGCGTCCCATTTCACGCGAGCGACAGGTGGACGAGCCGATGGGAAGGGGAACAGGAGCAGCGGAGACAGGAGTCACCACCCAAAAATATTCGTTGCTACTTCGGCAAGCAGCCCATTATCCGTCTAGCTGTCCCAAATACACCTTCTTAAGGGACAGGATGGAGCTGAATGCGGATGCTTCTTGTGTTGTGGCATCCACGCCGAAGAGGATTGCCCTCGTCGAGGAAGGAAGTGCAGATCATGTCACTCTAGAGATCACGACACTTCCTTCTGCTTCGATCAGCACCATTGTACGGACGACTTCCCAGTCGACGAGTATCGAGCAATCCTTGAACATTACAAGGCATTCGGCGATATCCGAAGATAGGAGAGGGCTAGGAGAGGCGTTACAACAATAAAGTGCGTTTGCTTTGCAGCATAGTAATCTGTAGGCAATTCCATCTCTTTACAGACACTTGCAGCGATAGGCATTCCTGAATGGTAACGTATCCAAAATCGTAATGGTGCGCTATATCCTCGCCAATTCAGGTGAGATTTAAATTTGACGGAACTAGGCTACAATACAATAATGTATCGCAGTTTTGTGTGCTTAGTTCTATCGCATGGCATCATGCATGCATATGAAGCAGTTTTTATTGCATCTCATCTAAGATCTGACAGTTTTCTTCTTGTTTCTCAGATCAAGCAAGATCAAGTACTGGGTACCTGTGCGTAAAGCTGCGAAGTTGACATGGGACCACGCTCGCGTTTTCAACTCCTCTTTGCTCATTTTGTCCTGTTCAACATAAGCAATCAATGTGAATCTTCAAGATGAGCTTTCAAAGAAAATTCATTGCAAACAGTGCGGCGGTGCGCTTGTGGAATCGCTCTAAGAGTTGTTTTGAATTCTGATAAATCAGTCAAGAACTGTCATAGAAGTTGTTTTTTCGACAATTGAGGAACGTTGCTCAACGAACCTATCGACAGCTATGTGGTTCAACGTATGTATGCTCTCTTGCACAAACGTCAATCTCGTTCGACAAAAAGCAGCGTTAGTGGATTTCTTGAACAGGGGGGGGGGAGGTTTACGCACAGGCACACTGCTTTGATCAACTGACTCCACCTATCGCTTTGCAAATGCACTCCTCCCTTTCCAATCTCGTAACGCAGAGAAAGGGATAGCCACTACTTCTTGCGTATTGAAAGCATGGTCTGTCTTGTTGTGAACAACACAGATCCTGACCAATCTTTTTGCTGTTCCGGGTTGTTTGCACATGGTTTGTCTCTGTGGCTCTGTTGCATCCGTTAACCATTGTGAGTGTCCAAAAACAAACTTCTCCGCAACTTTGTAGCCTATCTCATACAGATGCGTCAGTCTGGCAGTTTGAGAAACAAGAGATCGGCATCAGTATATGATAGATTAGGAAGCGTCTGGGGGTGGGGGCGGGGGTTTGTTATCAACTTTTGGGCAAATGCGAAGCCATTGGCTCACTATTCAAGCACCGATGTTGTAGGTGCCTACTTGGTTGATTCAGAAAGGTTTAGGAAGATGCCTCTTTTATTAGTGTACGCCATCTGTGGAACTCATCTTTGTCGAACGATGTCATTCACTCCTAGTTTCTTCGGATATAAGCGTAGTCTCAGAGTAAGCCTCAACGTAGGACTGCAAAATTGTCCTCAATTTTCATGCTACGACTAAAAATACACATTGCAGAGGCACAAGTTGGAAAATAAAAGATTTCAAGACATTCATTTCTTCAGCCTCTTGTACTTTGTTGGGATGTAAAAAATCGATGATCTCTACGGCGAAAAGGTACCGATGCTTTCACATTGTTAATGCATGTTCGCAGAGTTTTCAATCTAGATCCGCAACATCAATGGTCCTTCATTTTGACTTGGATTACGAAGAGGATATTTGGGGAAGCATGTCGATTTGCCATATGCCCCAACAAAGCAAGCATGTATGCGCTCGCGCCCATTTGTGGTGGCGCCATAGTCGTGGGCGGAGTCATTCAGAGCGGCGAGTCAAGGTGATATATACTCTGTTGGTATTGGGGAGTTGCAAATATGACTCAATTGAAAAGGAAAACATACACGGCCGCTTACAAACTGAAGGTAGTTACATATGCCACGAGTATCAACCCCGAAACAGGCAAGGAGAACGGAAACTAAGCAGCTGCAAAAGTTTTCGGAGTCGGTGAATCAATGGTGAGGAGATGGAGGAAGAGCGCAAATGTTTTGCAAGCCGTGGATGGTAATAAGCGTGCAAACCGCTCTAAGAAACCGAAATGGCCGGAGCTTGAAGAAAGAGTCAAAGAGTGAGTACTCGAAGGCGCAGAAAATAGGAAAGTTTCCACGATCTCGATTCGCTTGGAAGCAAGGCGACTAGCTGACGTCATGCGTATCGAAGACTTCAATGGCGGGAGCGGCTGGTGCTATGATTATGCGCCGCGCCGATCTATCAATGAGAGCCAGTACGTCTGTCGGTCAGCACATAACAGCCAATGCCGATGAGCTCATAGCAAACTTCCGGTCCTTCGTGAAGGCTGAAATCACGACGATTCCCGAGGATTTAGGTAATATGGATGAAGTACCGGTGACTTTTGATATGCCGGGGCGTTATACAGTTGATATACGCGGAACGCAGGACGTCGGTATAGCAGGAACTGGTAAGAAGGGTAAGTTGTAAAGTGTTAGGCTATCAATCCACCAATTTAGGTAGCGAGAAAACTAATTTCACTGTAGTTCTTGGGGTCACGGCCGATGGCATTTGCCCGCCTATGGTGATCTTCAAACGAAAATCTGTTCCTAAAGACACACCACCCAGTCAGTAGGTTCAGATTCATCTAGATTCATCCCTATTACACTTTTTCTTGCAAAGAGGTGGTATTTGCAGGAATTATACTTAAGGCCAACGCCCACGGATGGATGAACGAGGAACTAATGCATGACTGGGTTGAAGAGTGGATGGGCAGTGAGCATCCTGCAAAGTCGCCAGAGAAAGCCTTGCTTATACTTGACGCGGCATGCTGCCACATTACGATGGAGGCAAAGAAAGCCATTCAGAAGCGAGCGAAAATTGCTGTCATGCCAGGAGGGCTTACGAAGTACCTGCAGCCACTAGACATTTCCGTGAATAACTCGTTCAAAGCCAAGTTGAGAAACAGATGGGAAGAATGGATGATAATGGACGACGCCAAACATAGCTATACCAAGCAAGGGCACATGCGGCATGCTACATATCGAGAAGTTTGCTTATGGGTATTGCAAAGCATTCAGGAAGTCACTGCTCAATGCATTAGGAACGGATTTCGTCGTGCGCTTGAGGAAGGTCAACTTGTTGCGAATGAAGTATGGGAAGATGCCAATGAATAGCAATTCTGGCATTGTTTTCTTTTGAATCGTTTTCTATTTGTGTGCATTTCGCTCAACGTAAATTGCTTGATCGGTTCTCATTCCGCAGAACTTTCTCTCCATGAAGATCTCTTTCACTTCCACAAATTCCATCTTTTTATCTGATTTGTTGCTTGTTTCGTTCACATATTCTAGTGAAAAACCAAAAACACGGCAGTAAACATTGGACGGGAGGTATGCATAATACGCGAAACATTCTAAACATTGGACGGGAGGTATGCATAATACGCGAAACATTCTTGTTATGCATCTGTAGTTCAGTTGCTCTTTCTCAGAAGCGAAATGCTTATGTTTACAGGCTTTTAATGTGCTATAGCTTTGCAAGAGGCGCTCCAACCTTTAAACGAATTTCGACGGTAAGCCTGCTTTATCTGATGTAACAGCAAGTCATCTCAAAGATAAAGATTCGTTCGTGCTGCCCAAAAACTGCCATGAAAGGGTTGAGGGGAGCGCCGATCTATTTATATCGTCTATTCCCCCTAAATTCATGACTGCCGCGAAGTTTAGCGACAGTTTAGCGACTCTATTCGTGCACGGACACCGGCATGTCGCGCGCGACATGCCGGTGTCCGTGCACGAATAGAGCGAAAAGGGTGTGGCTTATACACCTGAAAATAGGGTATCTGGAACAAACACACCTCAGTTTTCTTCTGCGCTAGATCTAGAAATAACCTCCGTCCAATTTGTCACCTCAAGGAAGCTACTGCAGGTATACTCTAGTCAACAGTATGCGTGATTTGATCAGAATAGTGTTGGCTGATCATTGACAGGCCTTGGTCCCGAAATCAGGGGACTCAAAATTCGCACGGTCGTCAGTGTGTTGAAAAGGTTCGCCTCCGCGCTCCTAAAAGCCGTCCTCGCGCTGTCCCGCCTCTCACCGTTACATCTGCCGCAACTCTTTTAAATTTGTCACGTAGTCATCAGTACTGCTGTCATCGTGAGCGGTCGGGTTCTGCTCCCGTCTCCAACTCCATCGATCGATGGAACGCCTTCCCATTTCACGCGTCGTCTACATCTACGTCATGGAGGAGTGGCTTCTGCGCTGACGAGGTAACCCCGTAGCACTCGCGTCTGACACATGTCGGCAACACCGCCTCGGGGGCTTTCCGATATTGCCGGCCCTTAAAGGCAGTGTCCAAGCAAAAAGTCGATTTCGAGATTATGTGCTTACCTGGGCCTATTGGCCATGCTGAATCCGAAAATCACCACTGGAGAGCGCAAAAACGGCGAAAAAAGGCTCTAACGGAAAAGGGAAAGTGCAGGGGGGGGCGGGGTTGTTCACATAGTGGCGTCACTTTCCCAGCTTCAGGAGCGATCTTCTCGCTTCCGCTAACCGCACTAACATCACCACCACCCAACTGCGAAACGCATGACATAAAAACGGAACCGAGAAGGTCGCTCCTAAACCTGGGAGAGTGACGTCGCGGTGTGAACGGTCCCGCCCCACCTGCGATTTCCCTCCTGCGTTAGGGCATTTTTTTGGCGTTTTCGCGCTCGCCATTGTGGTTTATCGGATTCAGCATGGCGAATAGGCCCGGGTAAGCACAAAATTTCAATTTCGACTTTTTGCTTGGGCACTGCCCTTATGTTGACGTTGGCTGGTTGTGCTCCACCCTAGTGTTTGAATATAAGGAATTTGTGCGGATAAATAGTGGGCATTTAACATGTGTGTTTTGCATTGTTGGGTGAGCCACAGCTCGGCTGTGGCTCCGGAAACATCTTGTATTATCATGCTATGTACATTATAATCCTGCCCAGCATACTTTCGGTAGGCAAGAGACAGACTAAAAAGTGATAGTTGTTTGAGTTCCTGCCCCTATAAAAAGTGAATGTGGTTTCAGAAAATTGAATGGAAATTTGGAGATATCACTTAAACCAAAAAATTCGAAAAATTTGTATGAAGCAGAGGTTAGCACATCACCAAATTTGAAACCTTAACTTGGTGGTTCCCTACGCACAGTTTCCCCTCCAAGATTGCTTATTAAACTGAATGGCAACAAGAACAAAGTTCTTTTCCTATTAAAAAGCGCTGTTTAGCTGTAGCGGTAGTTGGGAGACCGAAAAAAGGAAAACTTGTCAACAACTGAATTGAACATGTTAAACACGTCTGAAAAGATATGTTGCACATCGACGCCAATCAGATTTTTGATGCGTCCTTTAAATTTTCGCCCCCGGCATAGTCGTTTCGTATCCTGCGACGTTGCCAGAATTCCTCCGCTCATCATTTTGAGCAAGTATTGTCCAAGCTGGAGAAAATTCGTTGCAAAAGCACTGAAAGAGAACAAAGTAAAGAAAGACGCATTTTTTACTAATTTTCACAGAAAAATTGGCATAAGCAAAGAAGTAAGCTCGGTGACGTTGTCTACATCATAGACAGAAACGAGACCTATCGAATACATAAAAAAAAACGGAGTGAAAAGAGTTGAAGAAAAAGCAAGAGGTTTTCGAAAACGCCGTTTTCTCCCGATTTCTCGATTGAATCATAAAAAGGAGTCTGGCGACGTTGTCAGCGTGAGAATAGAGATCAAGAGCTTTAATATGATATATAGATTATCGAAATTGGGCTCCCAAAAACGAAGAAAAGGGTACCAGAGCCAAATGCCCCGCGCCCCGCTTTTGGGGTAGCGAGGTAGCGCGCAAGTCGCGGAGACGCAGACGAGCAGCGGAGACAGACCAGAGGGGCATTTGGCTCTGGTCATTGATCTCCGCGGGATCATAACGAAACCCTGTAACATTATATATCGTTGTGACCCTCATGAGACGTCCAGGAGCACTGACAACGTCGCGGGTCTTGAAAATCACTCCATAACTAGATAGACCAGCATTTAAGTAGCGACTCTCTGCGCAAGATTTGAGCGCAGTTTCTCGTTTCTATTGAACTCCAGCGGCTTTCATAAACTTCCAACGCTCAATCGAAGTCTAGAGAAAGATTAATTGAGAAATTTTGCTCCAGTTCCTCATTGAATTTTTGAATGAAAGTCTTTTTGGCAAAAAAGGGCCATAAAAACGTAATTCTTCGGTTTTTTGAGCTTCTTTTGGATGTCACTACTATATTTACCTCATTCACATCTCTCCCTATATGGATATGTCATTAGTTAGGCCATGATATCCGGGGCTTCGCCCCGGATGACTTCCCTCTAGGTGAAGGTTGTGTTCTATCATGACGCTCAAAGTGAAGGTCACCAGAGTACGTGGCTCTATGTATCGAAGGTATGGTTGCACCTCTTCAAGGAGCGGACCCCTGGCTCCTACCGATGCGGAGAGCCCCAATACCACTGACGTCGGGAGCTGGGGGCCCAATCCGCGACAATCTTGGAAAACGTTATTTTACGATTAACCTTCATTGCTGCAGAGACGTTGAATGGATTGCAGATCGTACCCATTTTAGACTCTGAAGAAGGCGATCTGCCAAAACGTTAGCCGATAAAGTATTGTAACAATCTCGGTCACGGCTCACAAACAACACACAATATAACCTGGGTAATTTAGAAAAGAAGCCTCAGTGCAGCAACTTCGATAGCTAGTATAAGAATTTTTGGCTTGCTTGGCTTTATGAGGCGAAATATGCCCCTCAATGGCCTAAAATTCTTGTCGAAGTATCTGTCGTAGTCTTATTGAAGAGAAAGTACATATCGTAATCTGAAGAGAAATGGACGATTCTCTTTAATTTGTAAATCTAATCTCTACAGAATGGTACTTAAAGTTTAAAGAAAGATTTCAAAGCGAGATTTATTAACAATCAAACACTGTGCGCATTGTTTTGGAGCACCCTGTCTGATAGCGGAGTAACGCTGTATCAACGTGAATATGTAGAACAGGCGATCACGATAGCGATAGTCGAACCAACCCGAACTGAGGTATTTCACCGATAATCGGCCTTGAATAAACCATATGCTCACTTCTTGAAGGCAGTGTCCAGACAAGTTTGGACACATGGGGATCTCACGTGGTTAGTAATTTCCGGGCCCTAATAAGCCACTGCCCAACCGGCAGCTCAGGTAGTGCTCTAACGGCTAAGATATTTCCCTCGAAACTGGACCTCGCGATCGTATTCGCATGGATTTGGCGCACGTGGATCCTGGCGCGAAACTGCCATGAATGCAGGCGAATACGATCGGGGGATCCAGTTTCGAGGGGAATATCTCAACCGTGGAGCTGATACGCCAACGTGGACGCGCACGAGCCACAGGCAACTACCGACTGACGTCCGAGCTTGCGAAGCGATGCAGAGAAGCGATAAAAGAAGACCTTAAGGAGAGAAGAGTAGCAGTGATGGTTGACGCCGCGGAGGCTGGAAGAAGTATACGCAACGCCCGCCGAAGCTTCGTCAACTTCAAGACAAAGATGACCGCACTTCGTCGTCCTGACGGAACCATAACTGCTTCCCGAAGATCAATGGAGAAGGTCATCCACGACTTCTACTCGGATCTTTTTGCGAGCCACGTCCACCTTCCACCATGCCATCTCAAGGAGGACGAGTATGTCGCACCGTCTGTTCTTCCTTCCGAGATTCGTCATGCTATCATGTCGATGAAAAACCGTACAGCACCCGGCCCCGACAGGATTAAGCCAGAACATCTGAAGAATCTTTCGCCAGTTCTCATCAAGACTTTGGCAAGGCTCTTCACGCGGTACCTGACGGAAGGCAAGGTTCCAAGGCAATGGAAGACCAGCAAAACTGTGTTGCTGTACAAGAAGGGAGATCCCTGCGACATCGGCAATTATCGCCCTATCTGCTTGTTGTCTGTAGTCTACAAACTCTTTACGCGGGTCATTCTCAACAGGATCGGAAGAGAGTTGGACGAAGGACAACCATGCGAGCAAGCTGGGTTTCGAAGAGGATTCAGCACGATCGACCACATACACACGGTGTCAAGGCTCATTGAACTGTCACGAGAGTATAAGATGCCGCTCTGTCTCACCTTCATCGATTTGAAGAAGGCCTTTGACTCGGTTGAGACTGAAGCCGTCATCGATGCCTTGAGCAATCAAGGTATTCCGACTCATTACATCAAGATAATTCGTGAGCTGTATAACGACTTCACAACCACCATAACACCATTCTACAAGGACATCATCATTGACGTGAAGAGAGGCGTGCGACAAGGCGATACTATATCGCCGAAACTATTCAGTGCCGCTCTGGAGAACGTCATGCGTAAGTTGGAATGGGACAACATGGGAGTGAAAGTCGACGGCCGGCAGCTATACCACCTTCGCTTTGCTGATGACATCGTATTGATAACACCAAGCATCACGCAGGCGGCACAAATGCTGGCCCAGTTTGACGAAGTGTGTGGAAAGATCGGTCTACGGCTGAATCTAACGAAGACGATGTTCATGAGGAACGGAAGAGTGCCTGATGCTCCTTTCATGCTCAACGGGACGAACATCACCGAATGCTCAAGCTACACCTACCTAGGTCGTGAACTCAATATGATGAACGATCTAGCTCCGGAACTGAGCAGGAGGAAACGTGCAGCATGGGGAGCATATAAGACAATTGAGGACGTAGTGAAGAAGACCAAGAACATCCGGCTCCGCGCCCACCTTTTCAACTCGACGGTTCTTCCTGCTTTGACGTACGCTTCAGAAACATGAACAATGAGAAAGCAGGATGAACACGCGGTTAGCGTCATCGAACGAGCTGTTGAGAGAGTGATGCTAGGAGTGAATCGACTCACGCAAGTGAGGCAAGGATTACGAAGTTCTACCCTACGTCAACGATCGAAGATCAGGGACGCTGCCGCGTACGCCAAGCAGAACAAGATAAGATGGGCCGGGCACGTAATGCGTTTCGACGACAACCGGTGGACGAGAGCTGTAACAGATTGGATACCACTGGACGTCAAACGCGAACGAGGAAGACCGCCGACGCGATGGTCAGATATGTTCACGAAGTCCTTTAATGAAGTCCTTCAGAGCGTTCCACGTGTTCCTGGTGCGATACGTAAACATTGGTCAACAATCGCCCGAGACAGGGACGAATGGAGGCATCACTGGTACCCGCTCGTGCAACACGATGATCAACGGGGATACAGGTGATACAGGTGATCTCAACCGTTAGAGCACTACCTGCGCTGCCGCTTGGGCAGTGCCTTAGTTAGGGCCCCAAAAGTACTTTCCACGTAAAATCCCCATAGGTCCAGATCTGCCTGGACGCTGCCTTTAAAAGTACTCAGTGCACACCTGCAGGTAGGCGTCACCGGGTAAGCAACCAAGCATCTTAAGAGGCGACATCGAGACAAGTGGTCAATGGACAGTGAGGTTTGTCAAGGGAAATTTATTCTGCTACGATTGGCAAATGCTAATGAAAGCCCGTCAGATGACCAACGCTCATGGACGAAGCTTTGAACTATTCTAGAACACTAACAAGGGAAGTTCACTTAGTCGAAGTGGCGATTCGGAAGGAGATCTATACCAGTGGATAGAGCTTAAAAAGCTGATCTCAGATATACCTTCTATATCTGCGATGCGTTGTTCTGAGAAAAGTTATGCGCTCTTTTAAAGCCCAATTTTAGTGCATTTTTATTCGCAAAATTATGATAATCCCTACACAAAAATGTGCAAGCTCAAGCAAACCACCTAGTAAGCATTGTAGGTCTAATTCGAGTCCATCCAAACGTTTTCGAATGTTTTCCGACCATGTTGTTTATTCACAGGGGGTCATATCCTTCCTTCAGATCACACTTCCATTATGAAAAAAACCCATAACCTCCATTTAGAAAAGCGCGTCGCAGATATTGAAGATACATTTGAGAACATCGTTTGACGTTTCAATCATCGATAGTTTCCAAGAAATTTCCGACGCGACGCGTTTTTCTGGATGGAGATTATGGGGCTTTTTTGTATATATAGTGGAAGTGTGATCTAGGAATGAAATGACGACCTGTGGTTGAACAACATGGTCGAAAAACACTCGAAAGCGTTCGAGTGAGCTCGAATTAGATCTGCAATGCTAACTAGGTGGTTTGCTTAAGCTTGCACACTTTTGTCTAACGATTATTATGATTTTGCGACACAAAATGCACAAAAATTTGGCTTCAGAAAAGCTCATAACTTTTTTCAGAACAACGCATCGCAGATATAGAAGGTATATCTGAGATCAGCTTTATAAGCTCTTTCCACTGGTATAGATCTCCTTCCGAATCGCCACTTCGACTAAGTGAACTTCCCTTGTAAGAAAAAAGTCGGAACGTCATTCGGATTACTGCCTAATGGAATACCACCTATAAAACTTGCTTGAACACGAGAGAAGTCTATAAGAGATTTCGTCTACCTTTCTCTTTATATTCGAAAAAAAACGGGTGTATGCCCTCCTGAACCGCTTCGTCCTAGTGCTAATTACTCTGCTTAGGCGGCGCTAATTACTCCACCTTTCTTATAATCTATCAGAGTTTTCAAATATTTCTGAGCATTCCAAAGCAAGCGAGGCACACGAATAACGATAGTGACGATGTTGGAATTATGAAGACAAAAAGTTGGAAAAGTTGCATGCTTTTTTACTAGCCTTCCGTGATTTCTTCGCCCTTCCCATTTTTCAAAACACACCATGAAGTCTGCACGTGTAAGCTGAAGAATTTACCTAACCCACCCAGGTAACATTTTTGAGTTTTATGGGAAACTCGATTTGTTTAATTCTTTTTATCTGAGAATGCCTTTGCATCCAATACAGACCTCTCCAACGACGTAGCTCTCGCCTATCCAAGCGCCGCGGCAGCGCCGACCAATCAGAGGCGCGCACTAATTAGGCTGCTAACGCTAGCGGTTCAGAAGGGCCGTCTCCCGAAAAAAACTTTCCTGACGGTACTTCCGCTGCCGCAAACTTGTTTATTTTTCCAACTGCATAACAAACATTCAGCTTTTTCCAAGCCTATATAGAAAACCGATTTTTATGATAAGCTGGACAGAAGATTACCACCAAAGTGTTGAGAGGTGATATGAGCTTAGAACAAACATTTCAAACTGAGGTTAATCTACATCACATAAGAACGAGGGTAAGCAGCAGATGGCATGATGATGTAGGAGCTATACATGATTGGCACTAAAATCAGTTTCACAATATTTACAGCATACAATCTGGCACATATTACGGTAACCCGTTAAAGAAAGAAATATATGCATAAACAATATAAGTGATTCAGTGAGTACGATAATAAGGTAAGCGGTAACGTCTCCAACGCTTCGAGAATAAGAAAATTCCTACTTCTATTAATGAAATCAATAAGCCCAAACCGCCAGTGATTGCGTAAAGTGTTAAAGTGTAAAAACGACTAGCTAACCAAAGAACAGAGTATGATGCAGTAAACTTTTTCTCCTCTGGAAGATATTCCAGCCTGGCGAAACCATAGCCCACGTCGAGCACTCCCATTCTAGAAAGACTAGGATATAAGGGAAAACGGTGGCTTATAAACAGGAAATACGGCACCTGTACGAGCAAGTGGGCGACTGCAATTCCAGAACCGGTTCAATTTCTCCAATAGAAAAACTTTCTATTTTACGCGATCCAGTTAATTCACTTGACACCTGCCCTCCACTATGATGAACTGCGCGAGGTATACGGTGGATGTACGCCTGAAATCTTGCATCAACAGAAGCTCAGTACGCAGCACGAAATTGAGCACTCGAAATGCAAAATAATTTTCACTATAAAAAAGGAGTAAAAGCTTCACTTGGCTGACCAGAAGTTGCTACTTTCTCGATAATTTTCGTGAGTGGAGAAAAGAGATCTAGTTTGCAATTGATGATAAAAGTGCACAATAGATAAAGTCACGATAAGTTCTTCAATCAGTTCACTACGTTTCAGTGATGTAAATATCATCACGGTAACTTTGATCTTTCTATAAGTAGTGCAAAAAAAACCATATTCAACTGTTTGTAAGTTGGAAACAGACCTAATTGGGACCTTCGTAAACCCCAACGAAATGATTCCTATAACAGCATGTCTACTTCCGACTCTCGGCCTCGTATTACTCTATTCCCTTCCGGATTTAACGCGAGCAAAAGGCATGAGATACGCAATGCTTCTGAGTTTGCTCAAAAAATGGCTAAATTCTGATGTAGAGAAGCAAATATACTTATTTGATAAAGTACATTAGATTTGTCTCAACATGTATTTTTGTTTTGTAGATCTCGGACTGACCTAAGACATGGTCACAAAAAATGCGTACAATTAAGCATTCGCAAGATTCACAAATACTTGAAACAATGAACAACTTTGTGCCAATCGTGATGATTTGTTAAAACTGGGAAGCGGAAGGAAAATTTGCGAATATAGAACCCATTTTCTTAGGAACCCGTCCGAATCGTCACCATTTACCTGGTGTATTCATTCTTGTGTAACGTACCATGAAACAATTACAGCATTACATATTTACTCTGCTCCAACAAACAAATGATTCATTAAAAACATAAATGGACTACTTTACTCTCTTTTGGCAAATACGTAAAACATACCCTGTGATCGTGGGCACTTAGAATGAGGTCGGGCTCGATGCTTTTCAACTAAAAGAGAGATTAACGTTGTGCCCAGCCAAGATGTTCTACAAAGCAAAGTTAGCCCAACTCACAAAGCTATTTGATTCGTGGTAGGAAAACGTCGAAAATGCAACATGGCTCAGAATAACGCTGAGCTTCGGCGTAGAAGAAGCAAAAAGGTGGTCCACGACTTCACCATTCATGAGATTGACCTAAGCGTTGTACGAATACTTCCTGAGGACCTACATTTGAGCACAAGCAGCTCGTTAAACTATTACCTCTGAAATGGTAAGTCGATCGAACAGTGGATGTCCATGTGGAAATGTGCTGTTGAAAATACGTTTGAAACGGGTGGTTAAATGGCTCTGTACAGGATCCCCTTCACCACCAACGTCATTGTCTCCGCTGATGTAGATTTTCTGCAAAACAGTCATGGTACATCAATCCAAAAGGGATTCATGTGAATACCGGTGTAACTGTAAAATAGAACTTCAATCGCTATTATTAGGTTGCCCCAAAAGTAAACTTCATTTTCAAATAAATTGAGCTGTTCCTGTTTTCCCAAAGACCTTAATGTACTTGATAGAGCGGAGCAAACTCTACAAAAAGACCAATAAAGATCCACCCAAGTCTAAATCCAGGTAAAATTTGAGGCCAAAAATCACAATGTTTCAGCTACTCTAAAAATCGGATCTCCTTCCAGAAAATTTTTACGGACTTTCAACTTGGTCTTTATATAGAAGACACACAGTAGTACCCAAAAATGTAATTGGCTGATTATTTTCGGAGCTCAAAATTGAGAGAAAAAGATGATCAGAAATTGCCAAAATGTCCCTTTTGATTATTTTGACTTGGTATTTCTCGATTATAAAAGCACACACAGAGGTAAGGTTCTGAAGTTATACTTAGTAAGGCTTGTAGTATATAATGGCATGTATGTGGGAGGGGCTGGGGGCGGAGTTTGCCATTTTTGGACAATTTTTATTTCTCGCTTTCTAGGCTCAAATTCGGTAAAGGCATACTTGCGTACTACTATGTGCCCACCGTATAATAATGATCCAGTTGGAGGTCTTTAGTATTCCTTGTCGCAGAGGTCCACTTTTTGGGTGACAAAATTTTTTTTTCGACCTAGGTTTCAAATTTTTTAAGGAATGCAACTTGGGCGGATCCTTGGTCGATATTTTGTAGAGCTTGACCTGCTCTATCGAATGACACCCTAAGTTTATTGGGAAAACAAAAATAACTTGAATTATTCAAAAAAGGAGTTTACTTTTAGGACAACCTTATTTATACTTCTCCGACAATAAATTGCATATTTCATTCCGTAATTTTAGGTGGTTTTTCGTCATCGTAATTCGTAGCAATCCGTCAGTAAGAGCGTATTTTTAAAGGTTTACAATTCTAAAAAAACTTCGTTATAATTCCCCACTAAGAAGTTTGGGGAGTTTCCGAACTCAACGTCAAGGAGAACAAGGCAGAGTGAGCGTTCACAACATCATTTTCTTGTAAGCTCCTGAGCCAACACTTTATCACTTCAATCCTATTCTAGCCAAACCCTTTTCTGTCACCATTAAAGATCTCACAGCCACAGAAAAGGGCACAGTACAAGTCGTTTGCTTATTTTCTCGAAAAGCATGACACAAGATATGCAATACTCACTGGGATATTTGTGTCGAAAATGTTGAAAAATCGGGTAGTAGTCCAATCTATCTCAGTCTCACTAGCTTCCACACCTTCGTCAAAAAGGTCGCCAAGAAAGATGATCAGATCGGGTTTGGTAGCAGCAAGTGCATGAGAGAATCCTTTCGATAAATATCTGTAAAATATGAGCTGCAGAATGGGACTTTAATCTTTGGCAGTTAGTACGACTATAGAGATATAAAAATAACCTGTCGGAATCCCATCTGGTCACTGGCCCCCACATATGGTCCTCATTCTTGAAGCCGACCAGCTGTGGATCAGCAACTATGAGAATTCCTAACGATTCCGCGGCTTTCGGACGAGCAATGTTCCATGAGAGTCTCCAGTAGCGATAATTCAGCCACTCACCCCATAACAGCACGCCAATGACGATTACTTTAAATAAGTAGTACTACTTTGTCACTGCATCTACTGTGGACAATGCGGGTCATACATATTCAAGAATAATGTACCTTTTCTAGTTAGGATCTAAATAAGAAATGAGAGCTACACTGATGAAACCTGGTTTACTTCGGCATCAACAGTTATCCTCAATGTAATTTAGGTCAGTCCAAAGGCTTTGTCGTTTTCTTCATCAAGTTCGAGCAAACGCCAGATCTCGCAAATTATAATTGAGAAATCTAATTCGATGTTGGACTGCTTCTTCTGTCTAGTGACCAAGTTTCAAAACAAAACCTTTGAATAGCGCTCTATTGATCACAGAAGTCTGCGGTGTGTCATTTTTACCACTATTCCCAGTCCGCCACGTTTTCGTTATACAGAGTGTCCCAAAAAAATGTGAACACTGTTTGATCGTTAATAACTCCGTTGCTTTTATGTCTTTCGCCGAGCTTTAGGCACCATTTCGTAGACCGAGGTTCAACTTAGATTTACAGCATGAAGCAAAACTCCGATCTCCCTTCGCTACTGTTGGATTACGGTAGGAACTTCCAGCGTGTGAATACATTGTGAAATATTCCATTTGATAAAATTTTTTTCCAAAAATCTGAAAAATCGTGTACTAGGGTTTTCGCGCACGCTGAATCCATTACACAACTTTTTACGAGAGTTTTCAGCTTTTTTGACGGGGTAATCACACTTTTGACAAATGCTGGGAATTTTGTTATTACGGTTTACCTGGGATAACTTCGGAAAGAAGCGTCACAGTACAGTGGAAATTTCATATTCAAAATCAGCGGCTTCCATTACCGTAGTATAAGAGCTTTTGGCTTGTTTGGTTTTGTTCCGAGGCAGAATATGGCCTCTAATGGCCTAAAATCCTTGTCAAAGTTCCTACCGTAATCCTACAGTAATGAAAAGCGATCGATGATTCGCTCCATACTACAAATCTAAGTTGAACCTTGCTCTACAGAATGGTGTTTCAGGCTCGGCGAAAGACATGAAAGCAAGGGAGTTATTAACGATCAAACAGTGTTCACATTTTTTTGGGACACCCTGTATATATCAAGTTAGCGAATTCAGCAAACCACCGTCAGATGAGCAAAACCTACACCTCCCGCTAAAAAATATTACCCACTAGCTGGCTTACCCGGCTCCGCCGCATGTTCCGAATAGAAAATTCCATTTCTTAACCGATCCGGACCAAACTTGGCACACATACACTTCGGGCCCCGGCGGGTGTCACAGTCCACTTTTCGTTATCGATGGATGTCGATTTTATCGATTTTTTGCAAAATTTGAGCTAGGGGGCTGGAATTTGGCAGAGGAGTGTAATCGAGCATGCTGATCACCCCCACGGGGGTGATCAGCATGCTCGATTACCCCCCTGTGCCAATTCCCAGCCCCAGCTCAAATTTTGCAAAAAATCGATAAAATCGATATCCATCGATGACGAAAAGTAGCCCATGACACCCGCCGGGGCCCGAAGTGGATGTGTGCCAAGTTTGGTCCGGATCGGTTGAGAAATGGAATTTTCTATTCGGAACATACGTACGTACAGACAGACAGACAGACAGACATACATACATACAGACATACAAACAGACATTCAGCTTTATATATAAGATAACGTTTTTCAGTGACCTCCTTAATAGTCCTTGAACTCGTAATTTTTCTCAATTTTTTGCGGAGTAAACTAAGCATTTGAATAATTTACAAACTTCAGCCTTACAGTGGCTTAGTGCAGTCTCAGCAAATCATACTTTTATGCGACTCCTCCTCCCGCACTAATACCCCAATTCAGTGACTTTTGAAAATGCGAAATGGGGTGGCCAGGTTGAACGATATTTTTTATAGGAAACCTGCAACGCCGTTCGGAATACAGTGTGCAGCCCACAACCCTTCTTTTACGAGCACGTCACTTTCAAGGCCATCAATTCCAAAGAAAGTTACAGCAAAAAAAGAATTACCAGATTAGCAACACCCAGATTCCCTTAGATCATCAAAGAGATTGCCACTGATTATCCAGCGTACCAGTTTTTCACTGGAATGTTGTGCCCTAGCTAAAAATAAGTGGCTTTACTATTATTTAGCCTTCAATAAAAATGTACGCGCTAGTTGTCCCCAGTTTGAGGAGCTTTTGGAATACACATGATAGCTCCACTCAAAGTGCAGTGAGAATGAATTATGCAGACTGTACATCTGAGTTATACGAATCAGCAAGAACCATCAAAGTGCATAAGAAAATCTCTGACTAGTGCACAGTTTACCGCCTGCACAAACGACATTTTGTGCGAACATCCATATTCACTTTGTGAACTACAACTAGATATATACGCATTTGCCTTCTGACGCCTTTTCGATAAATCATATTTGTCTTGCTGCTACTGTGTAACTCGCTACCTGAATGGGTGATTTACGCAGTAATAGATCATTATTCATTTTTCTCTACCTTAAAGGCAGTGTCCGGGCAAAAACTCGATTTTGAGATTTTGTGCTTGCCCGGGCCTATTCGCTACGCTGAATCCGAAAATGCACATTGGAGAGCGCGAAAACGGCAAAAAGCTCGAATACAGGAGGGAAATCAGCAGGTGGGCGGGGTCCTCCCCACTGTATTCACGCTCCCAGCTTCCGGAGCGATATTCTCGCTTACGGTTTTAAGTCAATCATTCGCAGTTGGCCGGTAGCGATGTTAGGACGGCTAGAGGAATCGAGAGGACCGCTCCGAAAGCTGGGAGCGTGAATTTACATGGGAAGGACCCCGCCCATCTGCTGCTCTCCTGTGTTAAAGCCGTTTTTGGCTTTTTTGCGCTCTCCAATCTCGCATTTTCGGACTCAGCGTAGCGAATAAGCCCAGGTAAGCACAAAATCTTAAAATGGAGTTTTTGCCCAGACACTGCCTTTAAAGGCACTGTCCACCCTAAATTGGGGTTTTTGAGCTTTTGGCAGCATATGATAGTAGGGCCCCCTATCAAGCCAAATGTCGCGAATTGGGCCCCCAGCTCCCAACGTCAGTGGTGTTGTGGCTCTCCTGCATCGGCGGTAGAAGCCACGGGTCCCATCCGGGATAGGGTGTAGCGTAAGGTGTGGTGGCGTTACCTGTGAGAATGCGTATGAGAATGCGGATTCCGCCTGCCACATAACATGCCATGCACACATAGGGGCCCTTGCCGCCAGCCTACTTAGCAGTTACTTGATACCTGCGACTTGACTCATACTCCCAACTATCGACAGTTGGGGGACGATACTTATAACCAAGGCACTGCCGCGGATCGTGCCAGCCTTCTTACTGTTCTATCACATTAGGCGTGATTATAAGATACACATAAACATCGATGACACAAGATATCCCCGGAGCCAGAGTTGTGGCTCACCGCATCATAACAAATCACACATGTAAAATGCCCACCATTCGTTCACAACAATTCCCTAAACTCAAACACAAGGGTGGAGCACAACAAGCCAAACATTAACCTAGAGACCGGCAATACCGGAATCCTCCCCCCCCGTGGTGGTGTCGCCAGCCTGTGCCAGGAGCGAGCGCTCACGGGGTTTATCTCATCTGCGGGTTTGCCTGTCCTCAAGCGTGTTGGATGTAGACGAACGCGTGAGTTGGGGATGGCGCTGCATCGATCGACAGGAGTGAAGACGAAACTGGGACCCAACCGCTCACCAGGTAACAACATTGACGACTGATTTAAAGCTGCGGCAGTAGCAGTGGGAAGGCGGGAGCAGCGCGAGGACAGCGTTTCGGGACCCCTTTGCAGCGCGGCGGCGGACTCCTTTGAAAGAAGTCGCGAATCCGCAACACAAATGTCGCTTCGGAAGCGAGAAAATCGCTCCGGAATAACGGAGCACGAGGACCCCCATCCATGCCCGCCCATTTGTGCGCGCCCATCCAATCACCGTTCCGGGAAGCCGGCCTGTGGGTTCTCCGGAACTGGGATTGTCGGGATTTTCGCGGATTCTCGACTTATTCGGAATCAGGGACATGAGAAGGCCCTGAAACGACATAAACCTCGAAGTCGAGAACCTGGGTGGAAGGTTCTATAGAACTGGAGCAGGAGAGCGCAGCTATTGTAAAATTGTTTGCTATTTGCAGAGCTGAAGTTCTGTTGTCTAAACACATCGAACTCAAGCTGATTTACGATATTCGAGAATTAGTTGCGTAAAAACAGTGGAACCATTTCTCTCTGACTCTCTGGTAAAAAAAATCGACAAATTTGCAGAGCTTTGAAATGATGCAAAGATTTTCAACTCTCAACACCCAATAGATTTTGGGGGACTACAACTCCTTACTATTTTCTTTTGAGTGTGTTTTGATTTTGGAAAATCCGCGCACTATTTCTGACCGCATTCGCTTTTATGTGGAGAAGCTCTCTTCTCCCTCTATGCGAGTCTGACCGAGTCAAAACTTGAATATAGAATCCCGGCTTTGATTCAAATACACACACGATCGGGTAAATTAACTTCATTTGCACAGTTTTGAGCGCTGACGCAAGCAGTGTGCATGTTCAAACTACACCAGTTCAGTATGGCATCAATTTGTAGAGTTGTTCGCAAGTCCCTTCCATAAAAGTGCAAAAAGGCGATATATTCGACAGTACCACCTATTGTTGTCCTGCACAACTGTACAAGTACAAAAGCGCAAACAATTTGAAAGTATTGCAGACTAGTAACGCTGAATGGGTTCAGAATAGGCAGCTCCCATTATTCAACTTTGATATTAGGTTATTACATAAGTTTTGTTACATTTTGAGTCATCTCTATTTTTTATTTCTGTTAAAGACATCTGAAAAACCCTACGCTCTCACTCACGCATATAGATTCCACATCAGATATTCATATATGGAGTTCTTGTAATTTTTCCCGGCTAGAAATCGAGAAGACGAATTTGCATATTCTTACAAAGCGATACTTTATGCTACAACCCTTTAAGAGCGCATTCGTAAATTCTCAGCTTCCCATGAGCATTAGTTTTCAAACAATTATCGAGTTTAGCATTCTTTGTTTCATGTTATAATCAACATACTCTATAACTAGCTTGTGGAGAACCGAAAACTTATGGCTGTACCCCTAAAGTTCTGTATTAAAAAATGATGTAGTGACCAACACAACGCTTCGGCAAAAGCATGATTGTTTCATTCTCTCAATTTCTAGTAGGGAAAAAAATGCAGAAGTTATATACGACAGTCTGATGCTGAAGTTGTATGTCATCGAATGAGGATTCGTAGTTTGAGTTAGTTCGAATAAATAGATTTGTCAAGTTTTTTGAGCATCCAGAACCTAGATTTACAGTAGTTTGATTCCTTCCGAAAAAAACATTTGTTTTTTTTCTCAGCGAGCAATTAACTCTCACTTGAAAGGAGGTAACTTAAAGTAGTTAACTGATCTACATTGTATTAGGTTGATGCAAAAGTAATGGCCGATTTGCGAATTCTCAATTTGACGTGCTATAACTTTCTAAAAGAACCACATTTCTGAATGCGTTGAAGACCCCCAGAAGCAGCAAACCTTTCGCAATACAGCGCATACTTACTTATACTCAAACTATAAACGGGAAGAGAAATACGGACTAAAAGACAAAAAAGGTTCTTCTGCCAGAACCTTGTCTTTGACAATTCATAACTTCCTTCAAAGTTCGTTACTATGAATGGTAAGTGGCCTATCTTGTAGCCGCAAGCCAATAGTACAAAATGCAATAAAAAGAATTCGGACGAAAAAGTTTGCAAAAAAAGAAAAAAATTGATATTTAAAATTTCTCAGTTTTTTCAACATTTTCTCAGTGTGCCTCAAATTCCGGAATATAAAATTTTCTGATTTTCTACCTACTGAACAGCTGGAAGTTTTTGCAAAAACTGCTAATGAATGTCCTAGCCCTACGCTTACCGAATTGAACGAAGCTTCGACGACTGACTTCCTCAGGAGAAAATTATGGGTCATAAAATGACCGCAACAGCTACCCATGTTTAGGCGCCGATATCTCAGTCTGGATAACTCAAAGAATACAGTCAAGTATGCATAATGTAGACAATTACTATTACATACAACTGCTAAATTTTCGAAGAAATCCCATTGATACGCGCTTGAATTCTGGCCGGAAAAGTGAATGCAATGAAATTCTGGTTTTGGATGCGGTTATTTGAAGCTCAGTAACTTTATAAGAGATGAGGATGAGAGCCCGTTTCAAGTACCGTTAGATAAAGCATGAAAACAGCTTCGCAACGGTATACTACGTCTATTGTAAAAGAGAAGTATTGATGGGAAAAAGTTGCCCCGAAAAAAGACTTGGAAAATCGGCCATTACTTTTGCATCAACCTAATGATTGTTCGTTGCAATCATACTTTCATCATCCCTTTTTATATTCTGCAGAATGACTCATTGACTCATGCGTTCGAGGGCTATAGAAAGCTGAAAAATCTTACAGAGTTTGGCTGTCTTTTGATATTGGATGGTTCATATTCTCCTTAGCAATACCCTGATCTATGCGACGTTAGATAGCAATCGCTATTTTACATATTATGACATCAATTTTGATTGGAATCTATGTTGCCAACAGCGTCCTCTTTTTGTGGAAAACTTGCACGATAATCTGAGAAATTATAGCTTGACTTGCTTGACTTCAAATTCTGTTACTTTCTTTGTCACAGAGAAGTTCCGCGTGTTGCTACTTCGAAAAAGCTGTATGTTGCTTGGTAATATTTTTTACTAAAGATTTACTTGAAAACTTTAAAGTGTAATTTCAATAAAGTATTAAGCGACTCACTTGGATAAAATTTTGTAAACGATCTGAAGCTTCTCCGCCGATGAAGTCTACTGAAAAACATATTCGATAGGTTTAGAACCCTGAAGTGGGGCGACTTTTACGGCCGTGTTCGGGTGAAGGTAGGCTGGAGCATATTTTCTGAAAATTTTGACATTGGCAAAAATGAGTATGAACTGGTAATGCTTTTACGGAAGAAAATATTGACGAATCTGTTGAAAGGAAAGCCATAGCGCTAACTAGAAAGTATTAACGAAGTTTGAGAATGTTTGTAGAGGGTAGATACAATTATGTGCAAAAGCAATAACATTAGCAGAACTGCGAAACAAATCGGATTTTCACGGCACACGACAGCGAAAACCAAAATGTTGTCCAGGTGCCTACATCAAAAAAATTGATAAATTGTAAATGCGTTTAGAACATTAACTACATTCTCCAGTTTATGATATACTAGCAGCAAAAAATTTGTTACGCTCATACTGCAGTTATGTGGAGGATTTACGGAAAAAGACAAGTAGAGCACGGCAAGCACCGCACAGACTCTAATAGGTGATAGAAAACATAGAAGCCAAAGTGTGAGTTTAAATTTTACTGATTGTTAGTTCTGCGCAATTCTGTTGGAATACACAAGTAATCATGGCATCATTACTAATCCAAAATTGTCCAATGCGCCTAATTAATAGTGAGATCTTCACAGATAACCGTCATACCAGACGATCTGTATGGTGTGAATCCTCTTCAGACTAAAAACTACCAATTTTCCCACGCGTTAAGGCAATGTCCCTTTGTATGTTCAAAACCATTCAAATGAAATCGAACATGGCATGATAGTACAGATAACCGGTGATCTCTCGAATTGTTTAGATCACTACATATTATCCCGTGAAATGTGAAGATTGCATACTCTCTAGGGCAACGTCAATCTATACTGCGAGAAGGAGATGTCAACAAGAGATAGTTTGTATTGAATAGTAACACTGTTTCAAAAGCCACTAATCACTTTCTTACTTGCATGTCTACTCCTAAAAAAACTTTCCCTCTAAATACAACATATACAATGACAGATCAGAAAGGCAACAAAGCAAGATTTGGATAGAAATTACGTAAGTCTACAGAATATGACGATAGATTTCTTGCAGAGCACACGAATTTAGAGCAAGGTCTTTTCCGGACGCTGAATGATTGGTTCCCAGATTCGTCTTACAAGGGATGGATACTTGGTCGAAGTGGCGTTCCCATATGATCTGTATAAATTATCATAGAGCATAAAACGCTGATTCCAAAAATCTGCTTTTCTTATCTGCAAAGCGTTTCTGGGAGCGGAGTATGAGAATTTTTTCGTGCGACAATTTGAAAGCGCGGCTACAATAAAATCACTCAAAACTTTAGTCCGTGAGCTCAAATGGGGCCATGATTACCACTAGGGGGTTTTATGCAATAGTTTCCTGCCAGTCATTACTCCTTTCAAGCGCCGGGAAGATCTCAACACGTGTTTTCACCTTAGCCGAATCATTGGACTTTTACCCCCAAAAATTCCCAGAACTCCCCTCCTAGAAGAGCTTTGCAGATAAGGAAAGTGGATTTGAAATCAGCGTTTTATATTCTAAAAGATAGTGTACATTTCATATGGAAAAGCCACTTCGACCAAGTATCCTTCCATTAATAGAAGATAGAAGAGGCGAAGTCGTAAGGTCAAGACGAAAGCCCCCCCCCCCCCCGCCCCACCCTCAACCGTCGCTTTATCGTCTTGTAAAGCGATTGTATTTGTAAGTCAAAATGCTGTCTAAGAAATCGATATATCGATTGGGAGCAGGTAATTCAGCATTTGGTGCCTACAATGTCCCATGGAAGGGCTTCCTCCCCCTTCCGCTCATTATTGTGAGGTCGCAAAATTCCCAGTGGATCCTATACAAGAGTTATAAAACTGTTCAGATAATCTCATTTGCAAGCGACCAAAACAATTTTTTGAACTCTGCAAAAATTAAATTAACCAAAAAAGCCTCTGAGAGGTCCGGACCGTCCCTCTCAAAAATTACAGAGGGATGAGCTTGCAAAAAAGGAAGCATTTCTAAAACTTTGTGATACACAGGTGTGATTCGTTTCCAAAGTGCTGGTACCCAGCTCGTAAGCACTGAGTTTCTTCTAGTTCAGTCGAACCCGAAGGTTCCAACGCTCTAGCCACAAAGATATGGCTTGAATATTTTAGAGGTCACATTTCTCCACGTGCATCACATAACACCGCGACCTTCTGCAAAAATTGACTTTTCCTGAAAACAAGAATCATAGTATTCCGTACCGGTTGCTCTGTGCAGCGGTTTAAGTGTGAAAAAATCAATAAAAAGATATGAGGCCGATAAAGGAAGTATAAAACTATTATCGTTATAAGCAAGCTCATTGATTTTTAGGCTGTCAGAGCGTTGATTGCAGAGAATCAATAGATCGAACAAATCCGAACAATAATTTCGTCAAAATGAATTGCTAAAATCCTTGAAGTTTATGATTGCACAGTTTGTTTCAGGTCTCATGATCTTTCTAACATTTTAGGCATAACAAAAAAACTGAACAAAAAACGCGAAAAATTAATAAATCGATGAAATCAATCTAAATTTTGGCGGAAAGAGCTTGATAGCATACGTCCCGCCCCAATGTTCATACGTTCGAAGTTTGTTTCAAGTCTGCGATGTCTGCGATTCTTTATATCATTTGAAACCGGTCACCAAAAAAAGCCAGTGTACAAAACAGTGAAGAGCTTGATCAACTGTGGAAACCTGACAGTCAATGAGAGGACTCGTTAATATGCTTCATAAGCTATATTTCGATGTAAGGTTCATCTATCCGATGTGTTGCACCACAGCTCTGGAGCGATTTGAACAAATGTTTAGATAACACTGGCAGCAAGCAAACTGGGCGAGGAACTCCGTGGTCAGTTAAATCTGACTGAAGATCCACGCGGTCTGCTGTAACTTCCTAAAACTTATGAGTTGACTTGAGTATGTGCCCCTTCCACCAAGCGAAATCCAAGCAATTATAGGCTGCACAGTTTTTTTTTCGCAAGATGCACACTTCTTCTACTTTCAAAGCGTTTCTCATTGAGAGTGTCAGTCAACTCTCGATTAAAGTATAATCTGTCTCAATGAAAGTGTCACGATGCTAGCTGCTCGGGTCTTCCGCGCACTTACTTCTTGGCAATTTTCCTCTTTCAGCAGCGAGCTGCCACGAAGACCGAATATCTAAAGCTGTGGCGCTCACACTGAGACAGTTTATACAAGCACATTTGAAGAACATCAACTTTTTCTTGCTTTCATGAACAACGACTTCGATAACCATTGCGACGTCATTGGAGAAAGTTCGCTGTTCGGCAACTACTGAACGACATGACGACCATCTTTGCAACAAAGCGTGAAGAAGTTGATGCGGAAGTCCTGAGAAGGGGGTTGCAAGTTGATGATTTTCGATGCAGAAGTTCCTGCGCAATTCAAAAGAAATTCAGTAACTTCTCAAATGCTAAACCTAAATGTGCATTCAAATATAGAAGAGTTTGCGCCCTTGCAAAATTTAGACGAATGAAATTTTTGGTTGACTAACCTCGGAAACTCGAACTTCCAAACACACACTTCAAAATTTGTGATAATGATGTTCGCAAAAAGAAAAAGCTGGAGTAGCGCTAACCCTCCCGAAAAAAGCCTGGAACTCTTCACAACAGCAGTTCACGATTGATAAGAGAGCGTTTTTTTTTTTCGCTCGAAATTGCAAGCAAAAAAATGTGTGAAAAATGCCATTTTACAGAAAAAATTCCCTTATTACTGCTTTTCATCAGCAAAAATACATCACGCCCAACAAAGTGTCACAGCTCAAAAGGTAGTTCAACTAATCTCCATCGGCGTTCTTTGAAGTGCCCTAATACTTGTCTGCAAAGCGACATTTCTCACGAATTTTTTATTTTTTTTGCGTTTTTTTTTGCAAGATCAAATCCTGCCAAAATGATACGGAGCGCTTTAGAAAATTTCTACAGATTTCATGAGACTAGCTAGCGGCAATCTAGCGTTCTTGGCAGACAAGCTCAAAATCCCGAATTTGGTGCGCCGCTTTTGAAGAAAAAACGTTAGAGATGACTGACTCTTCAAAGCTAGCCACCAGAAAGTTTTGATAAATAGAGCCTCGAAGTAAGATTTAGGTTTGAAAAGTTATTTTCTCTCGAATTACGGAGGAACTTCTGTATCAACCCAAATGAAGGGTTGCCATTATCATTTGTAATGACGTAGAGCCAATAAAAACTGTTTATGCATCATGCTCCATAAATCTTGCACCCGTTTCTTTTTGTTTTCTTTGGTGTTACTTTATAGCTCTTACGCAAGTTTTTTATAGCGTCACTTGATTGCCAGTCTACGTTCTTTATATATGTCACTCATTAATATACTTCGTCATTATTAGTGCATAAATAGATAATGGGCAAAATATATAGAGAACGCACACCCACAACACATGGTACAAACACAGTAAAAACGCGCATGAGCTCTCTCACACAAACAAGATCAGTTTTTCAACCTTTACAAAGCCAACCCACTAACAATTTTGATTTAGACATGACGTGAAAGAACGAAGATATAAAAGAAAGCATTAAGCTCATCACACAACTTCTCCCGCCGTTGTTTCAGAGCATTCTCAGCGTTCCACAACAGTCCATGCGTTCTCCAGTTACAATCTCCAAGTACAACGCAGCTCCAACCCCATTCTCGAATCCACGCGCTAAGTCCTGAAGACCCGCCTCAAAAGCCCGAGAGCCCCCCCCCCCCCTCCCTCCCCCCACTTAGGTAAGTAGCCGGCTTCTGGCGCGCGCAATTGGCCGACCTTGAGGTGGTTCTCATACTGATCCAAAAATTCCGGAACAGTTCCAGCACAGTTCTCGAACTGTGCCGGAACTGTGCTGCATGCGCTGCAACCGCCCGCATGCAGTTTTGAACGGCGGGAGTTGGAGATTTTCGACCGTTTTCAACGGTTTTTCCCTCAGGATTCCACTAATTTCGGCCACATTCGCCTACTCCGTTTGTTTTTTAGTGGAAAGTGCCTCAATCGTCTGTCTGGGTTGGTGAATGGGCACAGTTCTGCTTCCATGTATCCGGGTTTTCCTGCGCTCGTCCATTCTCCCTTCGTTATATTTGTTCAGACCTTCATTTATTAAAGGCAGTGTCCGGGCAAAAACTCGATTTTGAGATTTTTGCTTACCCGGGCCTATCCGCTAGGCTGAATCCGAAAATCCACACTGGAGAGCACGAAAACGACGAAAAAAGGCTCTCACACTGGAGGGAAATCAGCAAGTGGGCGGGGTCTTCCCCACTGCGAATTCACGCTTCCAGCTTCCAGAGCAATTTTCTCGAATCCGTTAGCCGCCCTGACATCACCACCGATCAAGTGCAATCGAATGACTTGAAACCGGAATCAAAAAGATCGCCCCCGAAGCTGGGAGCGTGATTTCACCGTGGGGAAGACCCCGCCCACTTGCTGATTTCTCTCCAGTATTAGAGCCCTTTTTCGTCGTTTTCGCGCTCTCCAATGTAGATTTTCGGATTCAGCATAGCGAAAAGGCCCGGGTAAGCACAAAATCTCAAAATCGAGTTTTTGCCCGGACACTGCCTTTAAAGGAAGCCGCTGTGTATTTTCCCCAGCCATCTTTCTCGAGTTAGGGCATGCGAACAGTTCTGAAGATGCGGCAAATCGGGAATTTTTTCCAGTCTAATGAGGCACATTTTTGAACATTCTCAACACCTTTCCTTTTTCATACCTTTGCTTATTCATTCTCTTCTCTAACCCCGCTTCTCTCTGGATCAGACAAGCTGTGAACTTATAGCGGGGTTGAAGAATGAACGCAGTTTTGCTTCCAGGTATCTGGGAGATGAGTCTTCGTGCGCTCGTATTCTCTGTTCCTTATTTTTGTTCAGACCTACTTCAGGTGTTCTGGGAAGCTGTCTATACCCTTTTCGATACAGATGCTCTAGAAATACGCAGCAGCTTGGGACACATGAAGTAGGTCTGAACAAACGAAGGGAGAATGGACGAGCGCACGAAGACACATCTTCCACATATGTGGAAGCAGAACTGCGCTCATTCTCCAGCCCCGCTTCATGATCTAGGCTCATTTCATCAAAGGGGGAAACGGAGTAGAGAAATGAGATAGAAATCAGAATCTGACAAGGAATGGATACTTGGTCGAAGCGGCGTTCCCATACGAAATGTATAACGTCTTATAGAGCATGGAACGCTGAGTTTAAATCTGCTTTCGATATCTGCAAAGCGCTTCTGGGAAGGGAGTATGGAAATTTTTTGATGCAAAAATTTGAAAGCGCCGCTACAATAAAATCATTCAGAACCCTGGTCCGTGAGCTTAAATGGGATCATAATTACTACCAGGACGTTCATGGAATCAAAGCCTTCAATCTAATAAACTCATGTTAGTCATTACTCCTCTCAAGCGTCGGAAAGATCTCAACACCCTACTTCCATCTTATAGGGAAAGGATACTCGGTGACCCCGGCCATGTGGAATGCGATGTATACCATAAGGTGCACCTCGAAACGCTCATTCTAAATCTGTGCTCGAAATCTGCGAAACATTCATTTTTAGGCAGTTATGAACCTTTTTTCGTAGAAAGTTTGCGAACTTTCAGGCACCAAATTTGATCTAATTTGCCGTTTGAAGCTATTAAGAAGAATCTTGAAAGGTGTAACATTCTATTTATACCTATCTAAACCATATTCAACATTTGAAGAGGAAAGAAAAAATTTTATTGATCATTTTCTCCCTGCGCAGTAGCGCAATTCATTTTGACAAAAATAATCATAACTCCATCCAGGTTCTCGTTTCGCAGATATGGAAAACAGTATTCGAACCGGCATCAAAAGGCGCATTTTTTGTTATACAAACAATTATGAATGGCCAGGGTCAATCCTTCCCAGTTTAGCCAAGTCACCGAATTCGTAACTCAAAAAATTCCCGGAATTTCCCTCCCAGGAATGCTTTGCAGATTAGAAAGCAGATTTGGAATCAGCATTCCATGCTCTATAAGATAATGTACATCTCATATAGAAACACCACTTCAACCAAGTATCCTTCTCTAGTGAAAGAAAAACCGTTGAAAACGGTCAGAAATCTCGAACTCCCGCCCTTCAAAACCGCATGCGGGGCGGCTGCAGTGCATGCTGCACAGTTCAAGCACAGTTCGAGAGCTGTGCTGGATCCGTTCCGAAACTTTCGGACCAGAACTCAGCCTTACAGGCGTGCATTTCACGCGCAAATGTCACCCACTCGACATCACAAACGCACTACTCCGAAACTCTACTAAATTGTATGATCGGCTCCCAGATTCGTGTGTGGAACAGATTGCAAACTTTTATGATTATAAGAAACTTGTTAAACCTCCACTTCATAGCAACGCTTTTCGTACTCTCTCGCGAAACACAGGCAAAACAGTAGCCTGTCATACGGAACGGTCATTCATTATGGAGGTAGGAAAAACATGAACTACCATTCATACTCGAGGCTACAAGACTCCGGGGGTGGAGGACTATATGTCGCCGGATTTGGAAGAGTCCCGCGCGGATTCCCTGCAGGAACGCATGTCCGCGCATGTATAAGAATGCGTATTTGTCGCAAATGACCGCGGGGACCGCCCTTTTTCGGCGACATATAGTCCTCCACCCAGACTCCGGTAAGCTTTGCGCACATCGTTTTAACAAGCTTGATCTGTTTGATCTTGTTGATAACAAGTTTATGCTTGTTGATAGCAAGTTTATGCTTGTGATCCATCTCATCTACGATTATTTACTACTTCAAACAGGGACGCACAAGTTCAAGCTTTTAAACGATGTGTGCAAAAAACGGTCTCGAGTCTCCTACTCTCATAGCAATGGATAGTCACTTTGTCTAAGTTTCTTCTCAGAAAAAGGCATGCTTGCAGAGAAAATAATCACGAAACTGTGCAAAGCTTGTTCACTTTCCGCAAGCAGCTACGGCGATTCGCTTTTCTGAATGGTCGTGATACCTTGCAAAAATGGATGCGACAATGAGAAAGGGACAAAACAGGATGAAAGCTCTTGCTTAGCGTGAAGAAAGAGTAATTGATGACTTTGAAATTCCGCCCTATAAGATACAAGTGAATACTTTGAAATGTAATAAAGAAAATTTGTCGCCACTACAGTGAACGATTCAGATACAAATCTTCCTTCGCATTCGAAGCCGGAAAATTTGCTCGGTGGGAAATTGGCACGATGCCATGGAAGTTGCTGGCCGGCTTCACAAGCGCGCGCGGTTGCGTTGCGTTCAGTCGGCTCGACTTTGATGGGCCGTCGGGTGTCGACGTCGTGCACTTCTGCAACATCGTTCTAGCTAATCGTTTGGTAATGTTATCCGGTCAGGAATGTCCCTAATGACGTCATGAAGGATTAATTTCCCTTGTTTCTGTAATTTCACGTCTTTTTTCAAGGAGTTGGTTTTTATTCGATTAGTAATTGTCATTCATTTCTCAACCACATAGTGCCTCCTTTCGCTTTTTTTTGCATTTTTGATCCTTATCATTCATTATCCGTGGGGATTCGATTTTGCTACAATTCCACTTTTTCTATCACAATAGGAACAAGTTTAGTCTCAATCTGTTTTTGCCTGAGGAATGATCTCGTTTTTTACTTGTTATGGGGATCAACTAACTTATAAAAAATAGAGATTTATTTTGACCAAAGGTGGGCTGTCAGTAATCACCATCTATCGGTTCAACTCTCCATCCACACATGTGGTCTGATTTCTCATTACATGTCTATTTCGTCCCCCTCCCTTGTGATGGCTTGAATTCGTGGTACCGCCCTCCCCTCCCACAGTGCGGAGCACATTCGCGATTATCATATGCCAATGACTTGCTGCAACGAAAAAATCTGTTTTGTTATTGCTACCACATTATTCTTGGCGTTTGTCCATTGTACCTGCCATCTATCTACTGTAACATGCCTTTCAGGGTTGGGTAATGACGGAGTATAAGCTGGTTGTGGTAGGCGATGGAGGTGTTGGAAAGTCGGCCCTCACTATACAACTTATACAGAATCATTTCGTTGAGGAATACGATCCGACCATTGAAGATAGTTATCGGAAACAAGTACGTAACTGTCAAATTTGTTACCTTATTCTCATACATTTAAGTCATGTATCTCACTCTTATTCAAATCTATCTTGCTTTTCCTTAACGGCAAGAAGCGGTGGACGGACTAATAATTAAGCTGTGGTCATACCATTAGTATCATGCTCTTCGAGGAATGATGTAGCGCTTGAGAACACGCGTCGATTGTTTTTGATAGCAGATTGTGAAGTCGAGAGTACAAGAGATACTTCTGAAAAGCTGATATTGAAGTAAACTCCGCCTTTTAGTGACTGGATTTTACTTTGCTGGATTGTGACTTTTTGTGACTTAAATTTCTACTTTTATTGAAAGGCGGCTTTGATTGATCCGAGAATTCTGTCGTGTACTGCTTACATATCCTAAGCATTTTGAGAGGTACAAAATCCTTCTTCCGCTTTGCGTTCACCTTTCGGATTTTGGTCACCGAAAAATAATCGTTTCTCAAGATTCTCTCGTTACTTGATCTTCTCAAAGCAAAATTTTCTTAGATTTGCCACTGCTCACCTTTGGAGCAGAAAGTTGTCCAAATAAAATTCGCATGCGGATAGATTGTGATACTTTCAATGGTGACTCATTTGTTTATCAAAATAAAGCATCGGCACCACTACGGCTATCTCTTACAAAATCTTGTTTTGGCTTGTTTATCGCTTCGTTGTAGGTTGTGATTGACGGCGAAACTTGCCTGCTTGACATATTGGACACTGCGGGACAGGAAGAATATTCTGCAATGCGCGATCAGTACATGCGAACAGGTGAATTAATCACAAGCAATTTCAAACGGTTGCTATTAGTCAAGGCTTCAGTCACAACGTTGCCTGAATGGTTTTATCTTTTGTCTTGCACTTTCTGAAGTCTTAATGAGGAAACGCAGGGTATATCTCTGTTGTGTTTCACGTTTCCGTGGTTTCTAGAAAATTCCACAGCTTCTTCTGTCCAGTATCTAAAATGACAAGTACCTTTGAGAAGAGATATTACGTTGTAGAGCAATACAGTACATACTCCATTGAATTTTTGCTGTTGGGAACAACAAATACACGAGTTTGTGCATTTTTGGTGAGGCGTTTTTAGATGCAGCGTCTCAGTCATAAGCTTTATTAGTACAGTGATACCTCACGATGCGTGTTTACTTTTTTTTCCTGGTGCCAAATGGTTTTGCCGAAATCACTGTTCAGCACTCATCAAGAATTTGTTTAGGAGAGGGTTTCCTGCTTGTGTTTGCGGTGAACGAAGCGAAATCATTTGAAAATGTTGCTAATTACCGAGAGCAAATAAGGCGGGTCAAAGATAGTGATGATGTAAGTTTGAATTGAATGTTTACTTCATATATTTGTATTTATTGTGATTCTGCGCTTATTTCAGGTACCGATGGTATTAGTGGGGAACAAATGTGACCTAGCTCAACGCGCTGTTGATGGCCGAACCGTATCAGAAACTGCTAGAGCCTATGGTGAGTTAGACTGGATTATATTTTGAGAACATCACTAATATAGTTACATTTTGTTGGTAAGTGGCATTTTGTTTGAAAGATTAGAGGTGCTTCATCTTTTGTATGATAACTTATGCTCTCTTGTTTCTCAGTTTCCAGGATCAGTTTAGTTTTACTACTTGACTCTCTGCTCCGTATACGACGTGCTGCATCATTTATACCCGTACTTTAGATTGCTTGAGTAGACAACACTATTCCAAACCTTTTTGCTTTCCACGTACTGACGAGACATGTCATAAATCGTAGTATACCTTTTAGGAATACCTATGGTCGATACGTCTGCGAAAACTAGAATGGGTGTAGATGATGCCTTCTATACGTTAGTGCGCGAGATCAGAAGGGTGAGTGTTATGGTGTTGGTTTTCTTTAATATTACATGTTTATTCTCTCTAGTGTATTTGTACCCCTCTTAGAGAAGTCAGGAAAACATCTCTCTTACTTTGTTTGGTGCATTAGGGATATAGGCTTTAGTGTGATAACTTTGGGTAGATGCGTTTGTGCACGTGAATGTTGCAGTGAATTACCGCGGTCGCCTTGCATATTCATTCTACCGGCCATTTAGACCTGGTTTAAAAAACAGGAACCGTAGAATTAGATCTGAGAAAATTCAGGCACCGCATGGTTTTTTCGCTGCACTTTTAAATCATTATTAAGATCCTCGCCTTTTATTTTTCACATTTATTCTCACTTAGCCTGTCTTGGATTCATTCTATCTTTGTTTTTCAGCACCGAGAACGGAATCGAGATGCTCCAAGAAAGAAGAAGAAGTGCTCCATTCTGTGAATGGGTATGTGTGCTCCTAATCTGCGCCTTCCAATTAGAGCATTTCCGCGCCCCTTCATATCATTTCGCTCTCCATAGTCATTTCCGTCCGGGAATTTTTTGATTTATGAAAATCGCATATAGCTATTACGTAATATTGAAGCTCAATGTGTCTGCAGCGTTTCTTTGTGTCTACTTTCACGTGCCTGTCAGTAGGTAACGTCTTGATTGTTCTTCGCGCATCGTTTTACTTGTGTGCATCATGTGCTGATGTTCATCCATCGGTTCTGTCTTTTCTGGTATCCTGCTGGTACTTTCTGAACCGAGCCCGATCCCAGTAGTCATCAACTACACCGTTGCTGCCCTCCTCACAATGCGACTTTAACCGAAGTGCTCGAACGGGTTCGAACATAGGCTGTTCTCATTTGATTTCGACGATTTATCGCTTTTCGGACCCGTAAGTGTTCTACCCACTTCTTCTCTTCGGATATTGTTTTTGTACCATTGCGCGTGAATCTATATCGCTCAGAATTTTATTTATATCTACTTTTACGATTGTACATTAATTATGAGTTCACAGAGTTGTACGATGCCTACTACTTTATAATCGTCGACTTTTTAACGTTGTTTTTGATTCATTTGCGAATGTTAGCCTTTAACTGATTTGATTGCGAAGTTTTATAGACATCTATCTCTGCAAAATTGAAATTGAAATTTCTATTCTTCATTCCCCATCTATTCTTTTCTCGGTGGAAACAGCGAGGACTTCGTTCTCGTATGTTTGACTTCAATGAGTTATGTTGATTGTTCACTAAATTATGTCATAGCTTGTATTTTTTCCTGTCATACGCTGATAGATATTACATAATCAAGTAAACTATTGACCAATTATCCAGCGTACCTTATCGGTCTTTGCCAAGCACATTCATGAGTCATTTCGCCATCTCATGCGAGCTTTGTTATGCTAATGGATCCAATAGAGCAACTGATTCACTTTGATGATTAGATCCATATAATGAAATCTGCCTTTATAAATATGTTATAAGGCGTTTTGGAGAGATCTGGTTAACATAGCGGCGCAGAAAACACCGAAGAGATATACAGAAAAGCTTAGTTCTACCGCGTTAAAGCTTTTTGTACATGGATGACCATCCAACGTATTCAGCATACTGCGTTTGTTGTCTGCAAAGGAATGGCAGTAGAACCGGCGGCTGGGAGGGGAGGGGGAAGGGGGCTAGAGTGGAATAATTTAGAAGAAAGGATTGTTGCTGAGCTAAGGATCGGGCTTAATTTAGTTGCAATTGTAAACTTGAGCCGCAGGTTTAACAAGGAAAGTTCGAGAGGTCTCTAGCTTTTGCCATCTTACCTGGTAATGTAGTGTTTTGAGCTTAATCGTAAGAAAATGGTGGCGGAAGTCATGAACAAGAGTGTTCTCTGATTGCGCGTCGTTTTCGCAATTTTCCGCTCATACTGTAGCGTATTTGAGATGACAAGAAAAAGAAAAGTTGAACACGCCGCTGACGATGTCAGCCAGAAGAGCGGCAAGCTGAGCAACTATGGTTATCAGACAAATGAACAACCATCGTCAAGCGTCAGTGATGATGGACGGAAACGCACTTTTCCACGTAAGGAACGTCACGGAACTTTTCAAAGAGAAAATCCTGGTTACAATTCCAAGGATAGAAGTAGTCATTACGACGGTGGCGACCGTAATCAGGTCGGTCTGTGGTAATTATTAAATGCGTACGAATTTGCTGTTTCTCATAGGATAACGGCTACTACAATAGCGCAGAGACAACGGTAGAAGGGAGTAATGGACAAGAGAGCACGGATGCTTATCCTAGTGAATTAGTCGCGTATTTGAAGAACATAGAGCAGATGAAATTGACTGAAGGACATATTGGTTAGTTCAAACATAACTTCATTTTGCCCATGAATATGGCAATTATGCTCCATTTTTTATCAGAAAATGTCGTCATGGACAAATGCGCTCAAGAATGTTCTGGCGAAGAGGAGAAGCTTTTGATGTTCAGAGATTCATGTATCGTCGTGGAGGGTGTATTTGGTTGGTTTTTTTCTCACATCGGATCAATCATTCACACAACTGTTTACTTGCCTCTGTAAATTTTATTGTTTATGACAAGAGACATTCACTTGAATGTGTAGCCTTACATCAATGTGCATTTAAAACTTCTTTCTGGCAAGGGACCGGCTTCTCTGAAGTAGGACAAATAGTTCTAAAAGCTTCTTTTCTAGCTCTGTATTCGATTATTTTGGAAAAAAAAGTTCATCAAGTTGTGATTTTGTATCTCCGCAATCAGCCACCAATCAAGCACCCGTCATGAAAATGCTAACTGCCTGGAGGCTTCCATCTGATCTCTTAGGATCTTCTCAATATGGGGCCGCTTTGTTCCTTTCTGGATTGGCCCGGCTGAAGCACAAACGGCTCCTAGAACTCATTTATTCTGGTCAATCTGCTAGGACTATAGAAACGTTATTTTATGCGATGGAGCCTATCGATAGTATCCAAAATGTCCAAGTAAGTTCTGAAGCCTCTTTGGTTCACATGATTCTTGTCATGATGAATGCATAGTTAATAGAAAAATTCGCTGAGCTCTTATGTGATAACTGGAATGACGCTGTGTCCAGCCAGCATTCTTCATTCCTGATACGTTGCATCGCTAGAGTGAGCTGTGGATTGCCGAGGAAGGGAAATGAAAAGGTAGGAAACTTGAACATTGTGACAGCTACACCACTACTTTTCAGGAGTTAGCTGCTTTCCGGCCGAAAACCAAAGGCGACGAAAACATAAGACTCTCTCTGTCTCGCGTATTCGAGCGCATAGCGCTGCTAGCTCTGGATAGCTTATCTAGTCGTATGTTTCTTTTTTCCCACTGTTGTTTCTTCTCTTGATTTTTTTTTTGTTCGGTCCAAGGATCACGGCTAGGTGCTATCTTTTTCCTGTGGAAACTCAGAACTTGAATCATACATAAGCTTTTTCCAGTAAATTCGCCGTTGAAAACTCGTTCCTCTAAAAAGTTGTAGTGTACTATGGTTCCTAGCAAGCCTTATCTCCAAATTTCCAGCTTCTCTCGAAAATGTGCACCGTTCACTTGTGATACAAGACGTATTGGAAGCTGATAGTGTGGCTAAACTTGGCAAATCCGCTGCTCTAGTGGAAAAAGTTCTTGAAAAGACGGATGAGCAAGGTGAGACTGTGCATTTACAACAACTGCATATCGACCGTTTATAGGCGTGAGCCTTCGCCGAGTTTGGCAAGGGAAAAATAGCTCTAGAGTATGGGAAAAGCTGGTAGTCACGTGTCAAGAGGAAACGCTGCAGTCGCTCTGGGAAAGGGTTATCACAGGACATGTGAGTTTCCATTTTGCCTATCCCCATGGCTAGGCGTAGCCCCATCGCAACAAGTTTCGGAGTGATAAACTGGAACCTGATCCAAATACAGTTTCAGCTGATATGTCCTTTTATTGGAATTCTAAACAAATTTTCTTTCTTGGTCTAACATTTGGCACAATTTTTTAGGTTGGAGAATTGGCTTCGCATCCATGTGCGAATTTTACTTTGCAAAAATTCATCAGCAGCGTGAAATCGCTGGAATTGGTTAGTGCATTCTTCTTGCTGCTATCAGTACTCGTCCGTGAGACTAAAAGAGCCTTGATGCTTTTCAGGCGACGGATGTGTGTCATGAAGTAACACCTTTGCTCTCCACATTCTTATCGAATAGTCGATGGGGAGTTGCTGAGGCTTTGCTACGATGCGCTGCCAAACATGAAGAGTTGCAAGAGCCTTTATTAAAGGAGTTGAGACGGTACTTCAGAGCAGAAAAGGTAGGTATTATGGGCCACGCCTCTTATTTGTGTCCTAACGGTAGCTCTTCTCAAAGGCAGCGTCAAGGCAAGTCTGGACACAAGGGGATCTCACGTGGGTAGTAGTGGCGTACCGAGGGAGGGCCCCCCCCCCCCGAGAACGGGTCGCGAAATTTTTGAAAGTTACTTAAATGTGTTATAAAAATGTGCAAGCGACTTGTTTTTACTTGTAAATAATTAAAATAATTTTTAAAAAATTTTAAAAATTCAAAATAGCTTTGTAAGAAAATTTTTTTCGGAGGCGTGGCTCCACGCCCCCTTTTTCTAAAATTTTGGGGTCAGGGGGCCGCAAAAATTTTGGAAAGCACCCCAAAAAAATTTTCGGAGTGCGTTCCCCCCCTCTGAGCGGAAATCCTGGGTACGCCACTGGTGGGTAGTAATTTTGGGCCCTAACTAAGCCACTGCCCAACCAGCAGCTCAGGTAGTGCTCAAACGGCTGAAATATTGCCCTCGAAACTGGACCCCACGATCGTATTTCGCGTGGATTCATGGCGCAGCGCGTTGGTCCGCGCGGAACTGCCATGAATCCGTACGAATACGATCCTGAGGTCCAGTTTAGAGGCGTATATCTCAGCTGTTAGTTACTCACCTGCGCTGCCGCTTGGGCAGTGCCTTAGTTAGGGCCCCAAAATTACTTTACACGTCAAATCTTTATAGGCCCAGATTTGCCTAGAGCTGCCTTTAACGAGAATAGAAGGGATTCGTTTTTTTGTTTTAGATCCGACAGAGGAAATGTGATAAAAGGGAAAATCAAAAATTTAGTAGGGGAAGGCGGTCGGGTAGAGGACTTATATGTCGCGCTTAGGGTTAATAAAAATGCGAAACTCTCTCGATTCACTCCATTTTCATCTATAAGCTCCTGCAAGACGAAGGCGGATGGTTCGAGGCGCGACGTGGCTGTGACGCGGCTGTGACGCTGCTGTGACGCAGCCATGTCGCAGCCGCATTGCACATCGAACCGACCGCCTTCGTCTTGCAGGAGCTTATATCTTCAAGTTCGTTTCTTTTGTAAGCATAAAACAATACGACCTCTATGCTGCTGCAAATGAAGCCTAACTATTAGGTTGTCGCGGAATTCCTTGTGTGACTCAAACAAAAACTGTACCACGCCGAACTTGTACTGGGGCAAGCGTTTTACCCCGCGGCGCGTGCTGCGTGACGTGCAGTCCGGCGGTCAACTACGTCATTTCTGCGCGGGACCCCAACCTGAACAAAATATTCGCTTACTCTGGCACCTATCTAACGATAGAAGGTTTGCCCTTCACTATAGATGCAAGTACAACACTATAAGTCATCTACGGAGAATGAAGCTTTGATAAATCACTTTTCAAACACTGCGTTGTTGGTTTGGTGCGAGAAAATTACGGAGGACCGTTAGCTAGCACAAAAAATGTATGAAAATTTCTCACACACCGAAAATCACGTCACATTGGCAGGCTTCAATCTTGTATGGAAATAAAGGAACGAAAAATTCCGGGAAGGTGTCGTTTTACTAGAGAAATCCCCTTATCGCTGCAGTTTCTTCACAGAAACGCACGCAGGGACCAGAAAGCAAACGTAAGGGTTATTTAGAACAATGTGAAATTGTTTCGTCAAACAGCGTTTTTGCTGTAGTGCTGTAATGAGGGGATTTTTTTGTGTTGGCTGTTTCACAGATTTGTCGTTTTTGCTTTAACATACACGATTGAAGCTTCGTAACTAATGGACTTTTGCTGCGTAAGAAATTTTTGCGCTATTTTTGAGCTAACTAGCGACCCTCCGCAATTTTCCAGCACTAATTTGTAAATCGCAAATTTTAAAAGTCCATTTTTGAAAGCTTCGTTCCCGGTAAATCGTGGAGCGTTACTCTTGATTTTTTTTACGGAGCGCAAGCCTTCGAATTTCTTTGATACTGAAGTATGAGTTAATGCTTTTCGAGAAGTTATTGTATATTTTTTGAATTAGGCAAAACTTTCCCACCGATCTAATATTTTGCAAAATGAGCACAAAATGCAGCGGCTGATGCAGTGTATTGGCGCATTTGCACGCTATGGCGAGGATCTTTGGAGAGTAGACCACTGTTTATTGGCGGTTTCAGATAGGAAACCACAGCGGCAGAGCGGTGAAATATTACATAATTGGAGAGAGGATGTCTTGTGTCGAGCCCAACGATTTATATTTTGTCCTAAAGACGAGGACACTGACCAACGCACGAGCTGGTCACTTGTATGGGACAGAAGAACCTTTTTATATCGTTACACCACAATGATGCACGCTCCATAAAGCTCAGATGACTTTCCGAACTTTACAACTACTAACATCTTTTCTGTCTTATTTTTCGTCATGATGTCTGGCTAAGCGCAATAAGCTTCGATCAACTAAAAATCCGTCCGCTCTGAATTCTAATAGTACAAAGCCATCAAAGTTGGACGTTAAAACTACCTCGTTTTTTTTTTTTGAAATCGTAGCGATCAACAATGCTGCAAGCGTTGAGGATATATGCACTGCGGCGTACTCCAAGCAAGTATCCTTCCTTGGTGGTAGCTTGCGATTCGACCTTGAGTCCCTCCTCACGCATATTTCCTGATGGATCTTCACTACTGCGGCTTGTCAAATCGCCAGATAGAGCGTTTACTTCAGAGATTAGCAACGCCGATTGAAAGGGCGTCTGATTTGCTATGGTTGCAAGCTTTTATTGATATCTCTATATTCATGGCTTCATTCATCCACGTACTAAGTTTGTCACCATGACCAGCGTTCAACTTAAGCCAGAGGGACGGTGTACTTGCGCTGATTCTTCGGTCAAGCACCCGGCAGAATCACTTCCTTAAAGCTTAATTGTTCAAAGAAAGGGTTGTTGTCCGAATTAGCATCTGATACAGACTCAGACTCAGTATTAGATTCTGGCCTTATCAGAGCTTGAACAGAATGACAGCGAAGTTTTGGACTTGATTCCATGATTAGATTAGCAGAAATTGGTATTCAGTGTTTCAGAATGGAATCAACTGTTAAAGCGGGTAAGAGAATAAATCTCTAGTAAATAGTTCTAATAGCTATTTGTGGCTGTCTTGTTTTTCTAGAAAGCAAAAATCAAACTTTTCGAATCACCTTGTCATTTTTTTTCAAGCTGCAGTAACAATCACTCAATCGAGCTTCAATCCGATTAATGTTGTTTAATGTTACTGCAGCCAGGAAATAATAAGGTGGCTCTTAAAGTTTTCCCTGTGGAAAGATGGAATCACTTAGGTTTGTTTTCCACGATAATAGTCATAAGATGGCATGAGTTATGGAATGCAAAACAGATTTTCATTTTTTCTATATTCTATCATATCATACTTCAGTCTCGGTTTCCAGGCTTCCAACAAGCTGAATTTCTTGTACAACGTCATCACTTTGAACAATTACAACGGGACGAGTCTAAATATTGAACGATGCGATTTGCATGTATGTTCATAACAATCTCGCTTGAATTGCTATCTTAAGAAAAAATATAGACGTAGTCATTACTTGTTCCTCAACACTTTCCTTCTAGGGTTGTTTATTGATGGAGGTGCTGCTCTCATTCAAGAAGGTCAAGACTCTACGAGCATGTTTCGAAGCGCTTTCTTCTGATGATGTAGTGCGACTGGTTTGCACTCGCTTGGATTTTCCAGGATCTCAATGATAATACCTTCGTCAGGCAAAAAACAACCGCGCCTCACATGTCCTTCAAGCTGCTTTTAAAAGCACCACGCTGGGAGATGATGTGAAAGAAAAATTAATTGCAGCTTTCGAGGTTGTTGTTCCTGCTTTTTGGGTTTCAACTCGAAGAAAAGTGCTGTTTCAGAGCGATTGGGGATCGTTGATATCTGATGTTTATGGAAGTCATGTTTTCGAGACAATCTGGGACTGTTCACTTTTTACCGTCAATAGACGTCAAACCCTAATGAAAAAACTTGTACCCATACACGTAAGTTGTCCATATTGTTGCTTGGGTATTCTGGATTCCAGAAATTGGAGCTCTGCGTATTTTCGTCCGGCAAATATTGACAAAGCGATGTGCGTCAGTCGGAAGTCGTAAACAGTTGCCAGTAAACATAGGGGAACTTTCACCGTGTTGCTGAAGGTCAAAAATGTTCGTCTTCAAAAAAGCCGAACTGCTTTACATAAAAGGCACTCTCAACTCTGAAACAGTATAGCTCATGAACTCCTGTGTCGTTGGGATGTGGAACATCTGAATGCAGAAGACCAGGCAGCAAATTTGGCTGGCAGAGTCAAAGGCAGTGTTCGGGCAGATTTTGGAGCACACATACGTGACATAACACTGTAGGAGTTCCTAAGACCATAGTCCGGTCGCGACCGCGAAATATTGCTCCTGAAACGAGTAAACAGCTTCAGAAGTCTGACCCCCTCATTTCAGTCTCGTCTTTACCGGAAATCTGCTGGAACATCAGTTGCGAGGCTGTCATTGGCTGCTCGAGGTCACGATTTCCTGCTTCGCTAAAGACGAGACTGAATGGGGGGGCGTATCTGTTTAGACTTCTAAAGCTGTTTTCTCACCTTAGGAGCAATATTTAGCAGTAACCTGTTAAGATTGAGGTGCTCCAAAAATATGAGGTGGTCGTTATTCTGTGATAATGTAGTTGAACATATGATATGTGGCCAATGTCTACAGTTGCTTGTCTTTTCCAGTCAGGGCCCAGCAGGAGGTGGCGTTTGAGAATTTTGAAAACGAAGTCCCCCTTGACATTGCAGATGATTACGAGATACCTTTTGTTGTGTTTGTAGAAATACGGCTAATAACCTGCAGCGAACGATGAGTGAATGGAAGTCAAAAATAGACAAGAAAAATCGGAGATAAAACATCAAAACGTGAAAAAAAGCGGTTTTTATATCATTCAAGGGCCGTAGCAAAGCAGAAGAGACGAAATTTGGGTCAAGATAAGTATACTCAGTATACTCAGTTCAAACTGAAGACTAGATTTATGTAAAAAATTTTGAAAAATTATGTGAAGAAGGGAGAAAACTATGGCTTTGTTTGGCTCCGCGCAACCTCAGGGTACTCCCAGGTTGCGCGGGAGCAACCTAAATTAGAAAAACATATACAACTCTTTTCATTCACATAATTTCTTCACAATTTTTCATACTTTCCTTTTGATCGTGGTCGCGAAGCTACACACCAAATTTGGTACCTCAATTTTGCTTACCGGTTGTAAACAAAGTGATTATTTTTTCGTGCATAAAAATTGTGTTTTAACACGTTGAAATCTTGTGCACACGGGTCTGAGCGCTTATCCTGTTTGTAACGTGCTAGTCTACCTGTTACTTGTGAAATGACGTCAGAGTTGAATTAAGGGCTTACTAAAGGTTAGCTTTCGCCCACTATTATATGATCAGATTCCCGCAAATCACTTCTGGGAACTCTACGAGTTTCCTTTTGCATTACTCTAAGAAAACGACATCCAGCATGTGAAAGCGCAACCTCTGCTGGGCCCTGCTTCCAGTTCATCGGCGTCAAGATTGTAAATGTTACCTTTTACGATACTTCTTTGTGATTGATATAAGGGGCAGCGATTTTGTACAAATTTGTGGACTGGAGCCTTTCGTGTCCGGGAACTTTGATCTCAAACTCTAGCCCACTACCATACTCTTTTCGAACGGAACAATCATCATCCGGGTGCAGGCCAGATTCGAATGGTGATTGATGAGTTGTATGTAATTCGTCATCATGGATCATACGAGCAGACGCTTACGCGCTTATTTGAACATCTCAAAAAGCACACAAACATGAAATCAGATTTGTCTAACATTCATTTCAAGGTGAGGTCCATTCCCCTCGCTGCAGGGAATCTCATGCTTACGGACATGAGATCGCGTCAGACGATTTTCTTGTTATGGAAACAGGAATAAAAATGCTGTATTCATCTCGAGCCGCACCAAAATGTATCTACACAGCTTCATACTCTAAAGTGCCCTTTGAAAGCAAACTTTTCTTTGAATCTCAAGGCGTAGATACATTGCATGTTTGCGACGTGTTGTTAATGATATGCTAGGTGATGTAGTGACAACATTATATTAAGTTTTCTGGAAATTAATGCAGGTTCGGCCGAGTCTCAGTACAGAACGTTAATTTTGCTGAAGCAACATGTTTGTGGATGGGATTGTAACCACCTAATCAGCAAGCCTTCATCTACCTAGGTCGCACAGTTTGGGGGGGGGGGGGGCGGGCGTTGGGTACCCAACCGAGGTGCGGGCGTTAGGTACCCAGCCATTAGTGGTATACACTAGGCCACGCCCCTTGGCTGCTTTAACAGCGGGTACCTAACGATACACCAAAGTCTAGCTGCTAGAACAGCCCTCCTAGCTCGCTGAAACGCTGGGGCTTGCGACCCACATGAAGAAGATAGTTCGAGAAAATCAAAAAAATGCGCGAATGAAAGCGCAAGTTTACAACGCTTTTCCTATTGCTTTTTTGAAATCAATTTTAGAACCACAGAAATTCGGTGATGAAAGCTAAAAACAGGGTAAGGCTTTTATGAGCAGCTCACATAGTTTTGCAAAAAAAACTGTGATAATCTGAACCGATAACGTCAGAGGGAATTTTATGAAAGTAAACCTTGTAGAATTAATTTTATGATATTACTGAAACAAAGCGCACTTTCGGAGACGCTCCTGCGTCCAGAGGAAACTTCGTACAGACGCATCGTACAGACGCAAGCGTATAGTAGCACGCAAATCAGCCGTGTTTTTCAGAAATTTGTTGTACGTAAAATTTGCAGTCGAGAGTATCTATTTTTTGGCCTTTTTCTGTTGGATGTGCTCTCACATTTACCCTAATTTCACGCGTACAAGGCGCGGGGGATTTTTTTTCCAAATTCGACCAGCCCAAATACGCCAAAGAACTTCGCAACCAAAGGACCCTATGCGTGCTGTATATTGCTCAAGAGAATCGTACGGCATAAGGATCACTATCCGAAATTATTCAAAGCGCCTGAGGGGCTTAGTCGAAAAATGGAAAAGGTGTGCCTTGTACGCTTGAGATTAGGGCAATATTTTTATTCTACTTGCTAGTAATAAAAGTGGAGAGCTCCTGCTTCAAGTAGTTACGCAAATCTCTGGTCTCACTCGTAATCAGTTGGGAGAAAAGGACTCTTACAACTCCATTCTTTCCAGAAGTTTTCAGACCGTGACACCAGGGATCAAGTTTGAACCTCATTATTTCTGCTCCAGCATTTGCTATGTGGAAGCCATGCTGTGCAATCTGGAGATCCATTTAACGTCTTAATTCGGCTATCTTATCATGTAGACATCTTTCTATTGTTCAAGTCAAAACAGCTCACGAATCATTCTTTTGATTGTTTCTGTAAACGCTCATCAAAAGATCGTAACACATAGAGCTGACAGACGAAGCAAAACATATTATTGAGAACATAAAAAGCGTTATCAGACAGTATGCAGAGAAGAACGGTCACTTACAAAATACCCACAAAAACCTGCAATAATCTCCGGACGACTCAATACAGCAGTGTTTCAAACAATCGCAGGATTCCGGCTGATGCGAGCTTGGACGCACATTTTGTGATTTATCTCATGAGTGAGCTCTAGCAATCGATGGGAAAGCGGATTCTTGACTATTTTTCTTCTCATTGCTCGGCCCCTAAATTGCAAGCTAGTTTTGTTGATCGCGCTTCAGATGAAACTAAATAGCGCTACTTTGTTTGGCGTGCCCAAAGTGCTAATGACGGACGCTTTTAATTCTGGTCTTCGAGCACTTACAGCAATCATCATGATGTGTAGCCGTTCTTACAAAAATTTCATCATGTTATTGAGCTGATCTTGTCTAACAGTACTTGAAACATTAAAACTTCAGTTTGTTTCTTCTAACTTTTTGTAATTAGTCCAATCGAAAACGAGTATCTGATATAGATGCGCAGGATAGGAATAAACATTTTTGAAACTTTGAGATTTTTTAAACGAGTGGAACGCATAGAATTGCGAAGGAAATGGTGACGATTTCACCGATATGAGGAAAAAACCATGGTCGGTCTCCTTCCTGATCACTAGCTTCTTGAATGTTGGTCTGGGCGAGTGCGTCTCATACTTTTCCGCCCCCTTGGTTATGCCGGTCGAAACTTTCTTACCGGATCGGAAGCTGATCACCGGGTTTCTCTGAAATGGTGCAAGAACTGCAAATGCTGACCACTCAATTCGCATTATCTGGCTTTGAGGCGACATGCGATGTAGCCCACGGATATTGTTGTTTACGGCGAATTCCTCATGCTTCATTTCAAGTAGCTATCTTGTATCGATGAGGTCGTGAAAGCTGAAACGCAGGCTAGAAACATTGGACCTTGGTCATACAATTCTATTTTTGTTTTGTCACACTTCTATTGTGCTGTTTCTTCCTTTTCAAGATGTGTTGCTACTTTTTGATCATCAAGGAATGGACGGATTTCCATTGATTTCTACTGCATTTGCCATCCATCTTCAAATTCTGTTAGCACTATGCTTTTTTCTTTGCACTCTGCTTTGAAGGAGTAACAATACCAACATTACTACTTATGCCTATTTCAGAGCGATTCCAAGTTTTGGAAGTTTGCGATGCTACGCTGTGACATATATCTGTTCCGAAAAGATCGCAAAGCTTGGGTGGAGAAAATGAAAAAGTCTATAAAAGGAGCGAAACAATAGCAGTTCAAATCTATTGTTGAGACTGTTGCGCCATTTTTGTTGCTGTTACTTGTTGTTCGTGTGCTGTGAATTGTTGTTATTAGTTTCATGAAGATTTTGTCTGAAACTTTGACATCTGGTGCACTTTATCATCGCTAGTACCCCGGCATCCTTTATGCTGCTGATGGGGGAAAGATACCAACTTAAAGGCTCGAGTTGGGGGCGATGAGATTTTGGTGGTATAATAGGGAGGAGTGGGGGCAGAGCTCGGCACGAGGTGGCTTTTGAAATACAAAAAAGTCCCTCTTGACATCGCCAAAATTTTACGAAGTCCTTTTTGACCCTAAACCATAATTCCAATCTCCAAAAAAACGAAACGTCGACCAAAAAAAACGTCGCAAATTTTGTGTCTTTTTGACCACAAAAACGAAACCTTTGCTCTTTGTCCCAAAAACGATAACCAGCTTTCCTACCAAGCCACCTGTACCAAGCTCTGGGGGAGGGGGGTTGTATTTAAGCATTTGCCCATATCTCCCTGCAGAAGGTGAACCCCAAAACGAGAAAACTGATCCGGAAGGTAGAAGCGGCAGCGCTGGCTCCGCCCCTCAGCCTAGGTCTGAAGATAGCTCCATACCTGGGCTGTAATACCAGAGTCATTGTAGAACCGCCGTACATTTAATCATTGCGCAGCTTGTTTGTTCACATTGAACTCCAACTGCGGACTTGTATTTTCAGACTACCCACGGAGCCATAATGGCCCTTCTACTTTGTGCAGTGGTTCTCTCGCTGTGGTGTTCATTTTTTGCTGCGAGACTTGGACGAGTGCTTAGTTAGGGGCCTCGCTATTATATAACATCAGATTCTCATCAGCTTAATTTGAGTGACGGTGCCATCAAGTTGGTAACCTTCCCTTGGAAGCATGACCAGTTTTACTTTCTCAAAAAAGGCAGTGAATCAAGAGAGGTGATCATGTAAAATGAGAGCTACGAATACTAATGCATTCAGTTTTTGCAAAATTTGTATGTTTTGAAATGTGTTAATCTTTTTAACTCACACCTTATGATGCCGCACTGTGAAAGAACATGAGATTTTGAAGTCTGAAAGTGTGGCTGGAGCTAGTAGATCTTTACTTTTAGTTCTACATCATTCTACTTTTGGAATCAAAGGGAGAATTGCTCAACTGCGCAGCGCAGTCCTGATTTCTACATGGAATATTTGGTTTACACAGTAAGAAAAAGTATCAAAACAGAAAACATGTAAGCTTATGAAACTGACTATCGTTATACAGAGCGTCCCAAAAGAATGTATCAGACATTTGATCTTCAACTCTTCTGTATGAAGAGTTTTGCGACCATTTAACACCATAGTGTATAGCTGGCTTCAACTTAGATTTCCAGTATTGGGCGAACGATCAACTCCTCGTCATTATTTTAGGATTACGGCTGAAAACTCAAACAGAATTTGGGGCTTTAGAGGGCCCTTTGCCTCAGAAAGCAAACAAGCAGCCTGAAATTCCTTACACTATCTGGTCAAAGTTTATTGTTCTAACAATGAAGTTTGCACCTCGTTCATGTTATGCCAAATATACCGTAAGGGTTGTTTCAACTCGTCAATGCGATTACGCCAGTCCAAAAGCATTAAAAACATGTTAAAATTCACACATTTGAAGCAGCAGGTATAATCCGCAGTACAAAAATTTCCAGATTTTTTCGAAATTTTTTGGTACGGCGGCTCAATCACAGTGGCCTTACATGTGCCAGAAGTTCGCGCCGAAGTCCTTCACTGATGAAATGCAGGTGGTACCATGCTGTAAATCTAAGTTTAAGCCAGTTCTGCAATATTTTGCAGAACCGCGAAAACTAATCATACAAGAGAGCATTTGATAATCGAATTTTGGATACATTTGATTCGAGCGACTATCAGTTTGGTTAGCTTTACAAATCCAAGCTGGTTAAAGAAGCGGTTGTTATCTCCACTGGAAAATAAGTTTTTGAAAATAACAAAATTGCAGCTATTGTCTTGAAGTGGAACCCACAAATTAATTTAAATGTTTCACCAACATCTTTCCTGGAATTGTTGTCGTTTCCTCTAAGGGCCGCATGCACTAACGTCCTCGCTGGGAGGGGTCGCAGTTTGAAAGAAAGCTTTATATCCTGAAGCTCCGATCTGGATTTCACGCTGTCTACCTAACCGTAGGTATTCCTACCATCAGCAAGCAGCTATATAAGTCCCATTTTCCACCTTTTTGTGTGATGATCCCCTGATGATCCCATCTTTTCTTTAAAGTCTTTTTTCATTTCTGGAAGCCAATAAAAATATTCCAAAGTTGTGCTGTATATCTAACCTAAAGGTGCTAATCATGTTTCCGGTAAGAACTAGTGATGCCTCGAAGTCATGGAATTTGCGATGAACCACAAGTCGAAAGTTGGGGTTATCGAAGAAATCGATATCTCGAAAACTCAAATTTTCTTATCAGCAACATGCTTAGCACTGTTGGGTTGGATAACCAATACAACTCTGAAGGGTTCTCTTTGACTTCGAAGGAAGAAAATTGACTTTAAAGAAAAGACTGTCTGCCGTTGGGGATCATCAAGAGATCATACAAAAAGCTGGAAAATACGCTTGGTACAGTTTCTTCCCCCGTTCAGTGTGTTCATAGAGAAGGATGGTAGGAATACTTACGGGTAGGTAGACAGCGTGAAATCCAGACATCTTCCCAGCGGGATGTTACATGCAGCACCAAAGTGGTTAGGAGGAAACACTATGCTTTAAATCGAGCTTTCTGAGGACGTGCTTCTTACATCCTTTAAGCATATTGCTTATTTTATTTACACTTCTTGAAGTTTGGAAGGACTGTTTGTTGGTTTTCATGATCATGGCAGAAAATTTATTTACTCTGCTCTGTTGACAAAAATCATCAAAATATCATCAACAATAACCGGCTTTGCACAATATCAGTACGTAAAATAGCATCGGTGCTTGATACCACAAATGTTGCCGAGCAGAAGAAGTTATCATCGCAAGAGACATCTAAATTTATGTTAGCAAACACATTACTTGAGGTGTCTGAATATCGCTTTGAAGGAATGAAAATGGCATATTTGTAATAAAATCATTTATATTGGCGCATGAAGGTTCTAAGAAAAGCCTGCTACGGGAATGATGGGCCATTCTTTGTGACTATGGAACCACTGTCTGCGAACTGTTTCGTCTTGACAATACGTCAATGATCACCCAACAAAATTAGGACTTAAGCAACACAAGTGGGAAACTTGAAAAGCTTCCATGGAATTCTCGGTACAAGTGACGTACTTGTAAGCCATGAAAGTGGTACCCACTAGTCCCGCTAACTTGAGAGCTATGTGATTTTCGCGTTCCTGGAAGCCCGAACAATGAATTAAGCTAATGGATTATCAAATTACCGATTTTTTTTTACCGGCCATCACAATTGCCATATCCATCTCGGTTCATATTTTCTTCATTCAATTTTGCTTCAATGACTGTGGTAGATCCTGAATTCATTTCGTCATTGTGCAGCTTGTCGTGATTTTCCATCGATAGGGTTGTCCATACCCTCGTCACAAGGATATTGACATGTGCCATTAGTCTACTGTTTTTTTGCACCTTAGAACTCAAAATTATGTAGATAAGAAGGCCATCATGTTTTTGCCCACAAAAATGTATACTCGAAGAAAGGTAAATGAACTTACCGTACCTCAGAAGTTTTTCATATCATGGTTGTTTCTGCTGTCATCCTTCTTACACCAATAAAACTTCTTTATTGATCAAACTACCTGTACAAACCCGGATTGGATGCTCAAATAACAGGATTTTTTTGCGCAGAAAAAGTCCTCAACTCGGGGGTAACACGGAGTAAAGAATGCGAAGGTTTTTCAAAATTATTTTATTTCTTTCTTACTTCCAAAATTTTACTCTCAGAGTTGGTCTAAGCTCTCCTTATGAACTGCACACAGTCACGAAGAAACATTTTCATAGATTAAGCAGATTCAAAAGGCCTGGGCAGCCTATGAAGGCCCTTACCTGATGAGCTTTATGAATCTAGTCTACTTAATAGAAATAGCTTGAGGAATGATCTGGACCTCTCGGAATTTCGACAATTGGGCCGTGTTACTTTCAATGTCATCAGAATGCTTGGTTTGTAGAAATTTTCCTCGAAACGTCATTCTAAATTCCGGAAAAAATACCACAAGCATTAACAAAATAGTGCTGTGAAGTACTTTGCTTGTCAGTGTGACAAATTATTTCATTTAGAGCTTACTGCTTCTTCTTGAAAATTTGGCGTTTAAGGAAATGCTTCGGCAAATTCTTCGCATAGTATGGTCTGTTTTTGCGCTTATTCATTATTGACTCAATCACGCTATCTGGTTAAGTGCTCAAGCGGGACATTTGAGTAAATAATATGATGAACTAGTGTGATTAGGACATGAATGGCTTTACTTCCGTCTACAACTGGTTTCGGAACTATTAGAGACGCACCGGTACAGAAACTAGCATAGATGTTGTGCGATATACCAAAAATTGTTGTTCTCGGCAAATCAGACCAGAAACAAATGCAAAGGCCGACACGAGACTCGTGAGCATAGCATCATATTTGCATGAATTGATTTGTGTTAAAAATTTATCAACTTTCTCCTAGTTTTCCGCCTGATCTGTGATGGATAACAGTTTGATGTTAATCAAAAAATTTGGTTCTAAGGGCCTCAGAAATCGTCGTTAAAAAAGTGGGACTAATTATGAATGAGAGACGCATGTAATGTCTAGCCCAATTAGTAAAAACGGACAGATGCTGTTCCAAAATCTTGAACGTTCTACTGAATCCATGATAGAATAAAAGTTGGTAGGAGGAGCTACGATAGAGTCAGTTAGATTTATTAATCGACCATATTCATTTACCATAATCATCTCATCATTTGGCTTTACTTTGCTTAATCTTACCTGTTGTCTTAACATTAATCAAAAATGTATGAAATAAATAAATTATATAACTACAATAACATAACAATAATGGAACTTCCTTTGTGTACGAGCTCTTTCGAACCCGCAAATTCATCCAGAATTTTGACAATTACTTGTCTTGCTCAATAAAAAACTCTCATTCCGCGAATGCGGCTGTTTGCGCACATTCCGAGAAAAGCAAACAAAACAACAGCAAAATCATTTCCCATTGCAATATTTTGAATTATCTTCCTCTGTCATGTAATTGTTTACATTCGCAAAATATTGTGGCAAATACCCGGTACACATTAGTTAGTGAAGTTACCGGCACCCATAAACCGGTAATTTCCGCCGCGTCGCGCTCTCACGCGAGCGACAGTCGAAAGTACTCGCGCCTTCTGCTCCGCACGGTCGGGGGAAACCAGCTGATCGTCGGGCGGCGATGGGAGCGCGTGGAGGCACGGAGCTGCCTCGGCGCGAGGGCGTGTCCCCGCAAATCGCCTCACTTTCGTCGCTGTCGGGTAAAATGCGCGGGGAACGGTGAGTGCTTTGTGTGTTTGTCTGTTTTGTCTTTCTATGGAAGCTGTCTTCCTTAAACCCTAGTGCTCGAGAGTTTGGCGATTTAAGGGCGAAGAGCAAAACGCCTGAACCGCAGTCCGATCGCTCATCGTCGGATCACCAGTGCAGCGATGCGTTGGTGGCAGCTCACCTCGGGCATCCTTCCTGTCTAATTCGGATGTCACCCGATCAGGTGCTGGTCAAAGATGAACTCGGCGAAACCGCTATGCACAAAGCTGCCCGAGCTAGGGATTTTCAGTCGGCTAAGTCAGTTTTGATATTATAAAATTTTTTTTCAACTTTTTATGTCAAAAAGGCTTGGTGAGACAAACCTCAACTTCCGGGTTTTGTTTTAAGGAAAATAAATAAAGTTGGAGGGCTAGTATTAGCTAGGAACGAATTTGGAGCCCAAAAATACAAAATTTTTTTTAATTTGCTGACATCTTCTCTTCGCTTTTAAATTATACTATCTCTCTATATTCATAGTAATCTCACTCTTCCATTGTTTTTGGAACTATATTCGGTTCAGAACTTGAAGAAGAAAATTACCCAATTTCAAAATTTTTTTGACAAACTTTTTTGCTCGGAACCCTTCTTTATCTTATAATTATCCATCGTTTGGCTTATATTCATCGAAAGCATACCATCACGTCGGCTGAAATCCAATTTAATCGCTCTTGACGGCTTCAGAAATGCTATATAAAACTTCTGCATGAATGTATGGTAAAAGCGTTTGGATTCAGTTAGAATTACAAGAATCTGATTGAGTAACATTTTTCGAATTGTAAAGAGTCTCTTCTCGCACGCCAAAACAAAATCATTCTTCATCTAACAGACTCCACATCTTTCCTATCTTCTTCAGTGTGACATTCTCGAAAAGAACTTTCCGAGCACTGTTCGCTTTTCGTTTGTGTACCTATGGCAGTCTGTATCGTGGAGTATCGTAAGAAGTGTACTCATAACAATCCCCACGCATATTTCGCTGTTGCATGCATATATGACACGAAGTTGAGCACTAACAAATAGAAGGGCGAGTAAAAACCTCTTATTCACGATTACACTCTAAATGCACGAATGTATTATACTCTAGTTGATCTGATGGTTAACATATTGTTATTGCGCGACAACATTTGCGCGTAAAAAGTGGGCATGGAGAGACAAAATGGATTTGTGCGTTGTATAACCATTTTATAAGGTAACTGTTATCGGTATCAAAAGTATGGCTATTTTATACTTTACAACTGTTGTCGCCAGCGTAGAACCCCTTTGTAAGCCGTAAACTCTGTTCTAAGCGATTCACTCTTTGCGGAAGTTTGTTAGGTTCCAGTTTAGGAAATCCATCTAAAAAGAGACTTTGTGTTTGATAGCTAGTCCTGGATTAGGATACCAGTGTTGCTGTTTTTTTTTTGTTATCGAGGTGTAATTTGGCGCACAAGCGAAAATTAGCGAGAGCTCCTTCAAACAATTTTTTGCCTTTCGTAATCCTGGAGCGAGCTGCGACTAGCTGTTCTTGCACTCGTGTTCTTCATGCTCATTATTTCCTGAGAACCAGTCTTGCATCTGTCAAAGTGTTCACATACCGGTTAGACAAAACCACGAAACTTCACATCTCAATCAGCTTGACAAATATTTGAGTAGAAGAAACAATAGTCGTACTACCGCTACTTGTTAGTGAGAGTCATAGCGTGCACGGCTTATCCTGCATACGCCTTCTCTCGGCATTTTCTGTGACTCATAGGCAGCGAAATGAATCACAAAAGGAGGCGAGATGCAGATTTTCTGTTTCTTATATGAGGTTTCATCATTTTCTCTCGAAGTACATGCGTAGAAAGTAGGTACTTAGAATCTGTAGACAACGAGACTAAGGAGACGTGATGTAACTTTTTGGACATAATTTGACCAACGCTGGCTGTAAAACTGAAAATTGCCTCTTGAATGACTGTGATAGTTTTCAATTACTTGCATTGCCGTTAGAATTGTGGTCGTGGTGACCTTCCCAAGTAGCGCTCCCGGAATTTTCGTTCAGGGGGGGGGGAGGAACTTTTTATTTGATGAAGGTGCATGGCATTAGCCACCCACACCGAAAGAATTTTTGGTATGCTTCCCAAATTTTTTGCCCCGAGTATAAACAATCCACTTGCACATTTTTACGCTCATGTAAGTAACTTTCAAAAATTTCGCACCCATTCTTGCGGGGGAGGAGACGCCATCCCCCCCCCCCCTCTCGGTGCGCTACTACTGCTTCCTACATATTGAATTTTTGAAATTATTGCTTGCATCCAGTTTATTTCTTTACCTATTTTTCGTAAGAGTTCCTATTGTGTTTCACATTAACATACCTCTTACCCCAACGTACCCATTCTTCGCTGTCGCCATCGTTATTTGCCATTCGTACGCTCGTTGGGCTATTTCTACTGCTCACTCTTTTTCAGAAGAACAGGAGAAGAGCTCTGCCTGTCAAAATTCCCTAAATGCCAAAGGTGTTTGTAGACAAAGACGTGATTTCCAGTAAAAAGAGTGGTGTTTGAAAAATTTCTTGCGAATATTCTGCCCATGGAACAGGACTGGTTTAGATTAACAGTACTTTGAAGACGAAGTATCGGTGTAAGTGGACTGTCGTAAGAATCACATAGTTTACATAAGAACTCTTTTTTCGTTGCAAGAGAAGTCTCAAAAAACGAGGAAAGAATGTGCAAAGGTATGACTCAGCTTTCAGCTGTACTGTACTTTGTATTAGAAAACTGTGCACTCAGCAAAGGCGTCTAACAGTTACGATAACCATATTTTTTCAATATCAAAAGCACATTATTTGTTGTCAACCTACTTAACAATCTTGCCTCTCTGCCTCACCTAGATCACGTGCTAAACTCCCCCAAAGTCGAAATTACAGAATAGTCAAGATTTGCAGTTCAAAGGTCGCACCTTTCTTTTTCATTACCTCAGTGCATGGGTCATACAATCGAGTTATAAATATTTTTTGCATTCAAGCAACAACATAAACAGAATCAAAATTCGATCAACATCACTACTAGATTTTCAGCACAGCATCACTTTCCGTTTCGCCCATAAAGCGATGTAAACTGTATTATACAAATGTAGGGCCGACACTGAGCTTATGTCAGCTTTTGGTATTTTCATCCGTATGTAATGGTCAGTGCGTAATTTCTCTCCTATCCCTTCCTCCCAAAAAAATTATCTTTTCTTCTCTCGGCTCTTGTTCTGCTGCCCTCTGAGCATGGTTGGTGAGCCTTCCACTTGCCCTAAGATTTTGAGATGAGGAAGGTTTTGTCAGCTCAAAAATGAAAACTTGTTTTCATTACCACAATGATTTTGCCGTTGTTTGGTTTCAGAGAGAATTTCGCGGGAAAAAATCTTCTTTTTAGTACGGCTCCTCTTAAATTCACTTGAATTGTAATCAACACGAGTTTTAGATTTGAATGTGAAAGGGATCACCGCTCAAGCTTTTATCAGTTTGTATTAAAATGCCAAAATCTTTAGATGACAGTAAATACGAAACAGTTATATACACTTATGCTGACTGTCTTTATGAAAACTTAGTGAAAATTACAAAACAAAAATCAAAACTCTTGTTAGACTGCTGCGACTGGCACAAATTCGCTGATCACGAAGGTTCACAAGAACTCCCAAACCAATTGTCTCGAACTGCATGTTTGCAACCGGCGAAGCTCAAAACGATCGAAACCTAAGTGGTCTCTTTTTCCACTCCTATTTGGAATCGCTTGTTAACAGAGCTGATGAGGTGCCACTTTAAATCACAAGTGTTCCTTCCTCTGTCAAATCCAAGAAATTTCAATGAGAGAAGGGACTTGGGGTTTTTTTAATATCGCGATAAAATCTGCATACCAATCTAATGACTAATTACGTATCAGCTTTATTAATAGTACTTGCTTTGCATCAAAACACGAAGCGTTGCGCTTTGCATAGTAAAATCATAATTTAGTTTCTTCTATTGACAGTTCTCCAAATGTGACCAAATTTGCATGAGATATCCCCCAGGGCTAACAATAACCGGATCTCAAAAAGTTCTTATTGCTATCGCGTTACTTTCGAGAAATCTACGTTATACAGAGCGATGCAATCTCTGCCTTTTCTCAAATCTCTAAATTTTGCTCTACGATCGCTGCTACAAGATATATTCGAGCTTTTGCACAAAGTTGTGAGTGTATTTTTGAGATGTTCAGGAAAGCACATGAGCATTTTTATTAAAACCACTTCCCAATTAAATAGCATCTCCCATTCTTTCGCCCAAAATAAAATTTTTTTTCGTTTCTTCTAGTTGCGCGGATTTAGGTTTTTATGAAGGAAGAACTGACTGTGAAGTCGTTAATGCCTTTGTTCGCTTACTCAACGAGTCCCAGTGCCTGTCACGCCTGCACGTCAAGAATGTGAAAAAGAATATGTTTACCTACCAGCGTTAAACTTCCTGCTGAGTAAATCTAGGCTTTACTGCGTGATAGCAAAAATCTGCCAGGGTAAGCAGTTCCGCCCCATGTACTAACTTTTCGAATTAGTGTGTGTATCTTGCGAAAACAATATTTACCGTAAGAATTCACAGCGAAGGTCATGCAAGAGAGCAACAAATGATCGCGGCGAGAAAATCATGACGACACCGAATTCCCCGGTTTTATTTGCACTCTTGCTGGATTCTCAAGTGCTATGTGCCGGGCCGCTCAATGCGATTATCTCATTTGCAATGCATATTCGACGAGGTTCCAGTTTTTGACAAAAATCCTGAAATTTGTCCTCACCCACAAATAATGCTGCATTCCGGTTACTGCGGTGTAACCGAGGTAAAGGGCAGGACGAGCCACGGTTACCTAGACGAACTTGCTCACGAATGCTCTCCAAGCGCTGTTCCGTGTCGCATCTCTCACTCAAGCGAACAATGTGTTTGAGTTGCTGAGCGAGTCACTCGCTAGTCACTCAGGGCTCAACCAATGTTTGCTTTATTGTTTGCTGCGATGCCGGGGCACGGCGAACACGCAAGAATTCTGTCGGGATTTGCTGCGTCGAGTTCCACTTTTTCTGCTTCAGATTGCTGTTGGAAAAAGCGCCAATCTTGCGTGAAGTGACGTCACTGAGTGGCGAATCACCGGCCCACATCGCTGTCGCCGTTGGAGATGAACGAATAGTGGAACTGCTACTGTCTGGACGTCTCAAGGACACACTCAGGGCAGCAATGATCAGGTAAGTCGCGCCATAGTCACAATCAGGGGGAAGTGTGATAAAAAAGGTATTTAGCTAAAATTTCATTTTGGGTTCAGTGCATAGGGCCGCTGGAAAGAGAGAAGCATAAAGTTCGTTTTATAACTGCCTCATTCATCAAATCCATTTCGACGAAAAAGGGTTTTGAGGAAAAAGGGTGCAAACAAGACTTGCTCAAAATTCCGATGTGTTGTTGAAGAGTATTTGAAAATACGTGTTCTGATATAATGATAGGCAATTATTCGTGGTTCCTCTCTTTTAAGTACCTGTCGCAAACTATAGCATCAGCATGACTCATTCAGAACAAAGTCAAGCATGATGTGTGGCATGCCAGACCTCGGGGGTCGCGTATTGAGGGGTTGAAGGGAGGAGAGTGTGTCGTTTCGAGGAAATACTGATGTTAGCGATAACATCATATTCGTTACCAATGTCAGGGAGACATTATGCAAAATAGCACAGCCTAGCGTATTGATGTTTTGGCCTATGATCGCATACGTACACTAGGCATTTAAAGAGCCCCAAAAGCATTAAAATATCATTTTCGTAATTAGCATGTCTAACCCCTGTGGGCCAGTCTCAGAGATTTGAGCCTTCCAAATATTGGATCCTCCAAGGAAGGCGGTCATTTTCAGACATGTTAACTTTGTTTCAAAAGTGAGTCGACTTTTTCTTCTTGCACTAAATACAAAGAACTACTTCTTCGCTCACATTAGGAATCCCACTCTAAATAACGAACTATGGAATTACAAGCCAAATCTCATTTGTCCCATTTTTCCTTTCAGTATCTCATGCGAAGACTAAACGGGCTCAAATCATTTTTGTAGGAATCACGAGGTTTAATCTATCGAATATGTTTATTCCTGCCACATTCCCTCGCGTCACGTAGTACGTAAACTTAGCATGTTACCGTAACCCATGTTTTCGCAGTATTTTCCACTTGCATAGGTAAAAAACGATTATTTCTTCTTCTAGGAAAAACGAATTTGAACGTAACTCCTACTCTTTACGGAAGAAGGTTCAAAAGTGACAACAATATAATTAACACATTTACTTGAATGCTTTGAAGGTAAGTTATAGGGGTGTGGGTGGCGTAACAGCCAAGAAGGTGTGGCAGCCACAGCTTTTCTGGAGTTGTGCCACACTCCATCAACTTACCTCCATGGGAATTTTTAGCGAACAAATTATATACAGTTCAATATCCAAAATCTCGTAGTTCTTGTAGAAGTGCTTAGAGCTGAATTCGTCTTCTTTTGTTTGCGCAACAGTTGCCAAAAGCACAACTACTTTAAGCTAAAAATGGGACAAAGGAGATTTTGGCTGGCTCCTAATTCTATAGTCTGATGGTTATTTAAAGCAGGATTCTTGGCATTGGCAAATAGGGAGTAGTGCGGAAGTAGTGCATTGTTTTGGGTACATAAGGAGGTGGGGAATATGCTTTTGAGACATAGATAACCATGGTTGAGAATGACCACTTTACTTGGGTATCCTAATATTGGCAACTCTAAGTGCTCGCTAAAACTTGGCCCACAGAGGTTATTTTACATGATAATCACGAATATGTTACTAATTACTTGGTAGAGCCTTTTTGTCATGTCTACAGTGCACAGACAAGGATACGGGGGGGGGGTATGAAGACAGAACTTATTGTTAGAGGGGAGGTCGTCTCCGGCAGTTGTGTGCCACACCTCTTGCTCGACCTTGATTTCAAGCATAGTACATTGCATTCTAGTGTGAGATTACAACTGAAGATTTGTTCTTAGATCAATCATTGAGCTGCCACTGCTATGTGGCTCAATGGTTTTGCATTAACCTTCTGTGGACCATTACACCTGCGTCGCTAACTGGCATTGTTTTGGATTCGGATGCATGATTTGTGGCAGATGCCGTGCGGGTATAGGTTCTCCAAACGATTAACCGCTATAAGCGGGCTTTATAAGTAAGTAAGCGAAAACACGCAGTGGAAGGGCAAACTTAATTATGATACTATTATGACACGGGTTGGTCCACAAATCTTCCATCGTACTCGAAATCTCGTATTTTCCTAAGCTTAAGGATTCGTTCGAATGTAATATAGGCAGAGAAAGGAAACACAATGTGTTTTATGTTAGGTTGGAAAAAAAGAATGTTGCTTTTTTTCTTTATCATGGCATCGCAACAAGGCAAATCTCAGAACGTGTGTAGGAATACCATTCGATGGAGCAAAGCAAAATCTACAAAACGGCATCACTGGTTTCGCACCAAGTTATACCTACGTGAAGTTTAAAGAAGTAATCGTTTCAAATGAGTGAAAAATTTAAAAAAATTGTCTCCGTCCAAAAAATTCCCACGGATCCCCAACTTGCTCACGAACATACAACCCTCATCAAGCCTTCATATGCGCAATTGCTGTAATTTTTCCCTGGAAAACGTCGAAAAATCAAATTTTTCGTGCTTCCGCTGAATGTTGATAGACTTCCGCGTAAGTTCTACCCCCTCAAAGTAGTATCGAATCACTTACGCTGGAACACCTCAGCATCACTTTAGCAGAAGCATGAAAAAATTGATTCTTCGATGTCTAGCGAAGGAAGAATTACAGCAACGGCGTATATGAATGCTTGTTGAAGTATTTATGTCTGTGAGCAAGTTGAAGGTCCATAGAAATTTTTTGGCCAGAGAGACGCTTTTTTTGATTTGGTCATTCGAAACTTTTTAGATTCCATCTCTGAACCTAACGTCGGTATTACTTATTGCGAGACCAGTAATGTAGTTTTATAGAGCTTGCTTCGCTCTATCGAATGCTACCCCGTACACGTTTCTGGGATCTGCCTTGTTGCGGTGCAACGACGAAAATAGAAAGCGACATTCTTTTCTGTCCAACCTACTATGTCTTTAGCGATAATCGAAGTTGGATTATCAAGGAGAACCAAGCTGATGAAGAGAAATTTCAAACCGTATCTTTGGTTTGGCCGCGAGAAATGACGTAGGGCCATAAAATTTTACTTCAGCTTTTGGGGCCTATTCTTTTTGGGAAGAATCTGTGTTTCAAACCTACCTACGAATAGTTATGATTAGGCCTTGAAGACTTTCGATTTGTTAGAATAAAAACACTCATATCAGATTAGAGCTTAGATGTTACAATATATGTGCTTCTTTTCCTGTTTTTTGTGTGGAAGTTATGAAAGAACTCAATGGGTTGAGCGCGAAACCGATTTCAAATCTGCTTTCCATTCGACAAGCGTTGTCTCAAGAGTGCGCTTTATTCAATTTACAAAATGGGAGCAATGAGAACTTGCGCACAACATCTTCTGGTAAAGATGCAAGGAAATGAAATCAAAATTTGAGCTTATGAAAGAGTGGGCGTCTCATTCCTTTGTAGAACACATTGTAATTGGACACCATAATAACGCCAAATCATCTATCACAAAAAACTCACCCTTCTTCTTCAAATAGCTAGGCCAATTGAGAATTCAGATGTGAAATCAAATCTAACTTCAATATTTTCAAACTTCAACCAAAAGTATTCTTTATAACTTTTTCTTGCAAGAATAACCATTGAATTTACAATGCCCGATACCTTTGCAGTAACACTCACTCTCCACTGCCAAACTTCATGTACTTCTAGTGCGATGACCTTTAGTCGCAACAGCAGGTCTTGAAATCACATACTTAGTTCTCTAAAGACATTTTATTTACTCTTACTCTGCGACTTGAGATACTTAGTTGATGAAGACAGGAGTGCAACAAAAGGTGCACTCATAATACATCTGAGTGATTCAAAGAAATTGTAAGTGAAAGGGAATTGCGATACATCAAGAAACGGACCGCATGGAGAAAAGCTAGCGCAGATCACCAAATTTTGCCCTTGATTTCGTCTCTTGCACATCCCTCTTGATCTGGTACTTGAATTTTTGAGCTGTTTTGTCTCAAGATTTTTGGTAGGTGCCTGGGAGAAGCTGGCATAGAAAAACAATAATGGTAATCTAAAAAAATATTTACTATAATGTGAATTGCCAAAAAACTATAAAGATCCGTGATGCATGGTGGTCTTCTGGTTCCTACTTGCTCCGTTTAGAGCCTTTTCAAAAATGGCGCATGCATTACTCATATTCACTATGTTTGCACTGTAATGGCGCAGGATAGCTAATGCTCAAAGCCAACAGAGAAAAGTAGGAAGTCGACATAAAGAACGTGGTCTGCAATCGTCTGCTATTATTTGTTGAGCCTTTTTTTTATGAAAAATCAAGTCAAGAAAATTTCCCGGAATACAATGGTGCAATTTGTCAAAAATCAGTATGTTTCTGCAGAAGTTACAAAGGAGGGATACTTGTTAACCCTGGCCTTTTGCAAGGAGATGTATACCAGTAGATGCGCCTTGAAATGCCTTGAAACTCCAGATCTATTCATCGTCTGCTGTGCGTCTCTGAACGAAAGTATAAACTTTTTTTTCGTACTAATTTCACGAGATCTGGGCAGTCAGAATCGCCAGCATCCAGACTTTTTAGACTCTGATATATTGGAAACAGTTTTCCTGAGCATAAATTCCGGTGGCAAGAAATGCCCATAACTTCTTTTGGAAGAGTGCACAGCAGATATGGAAGGCAAATTTGAAATCATCGCTTCAAGATGCACTTAATGGTATACGTTTCATTTCAAAAGGCCACGGTCACCAAGTAGCCTTCCCTTGTTGGTTAGACCACTGAGTTGTGATAGAAGGGTTATGAAAGAACCAATCTTTCATTCCGTTTACTCTTCACTTTCTAAATCTGGGATCAAATACGTTGAGGAATAATATGATAATGTTGATTACAGTACAAATAGTTGCTCACACTATAAGAGATTTTCGGGCATTAGTCGTGTTACACAAGTACAGGATTAGTGTGTTGTATGAAAGATTGTTGAGACACACTGTACTTTTCCAAAATATGCAGAATACTTTACAACCGCGCTTGAAATCTTCTTACCTACGCAGACATTCGAGAATTTTATGAAACGTACGCCGAAAAGTAACAACTTTTCCAGGGACATCAATGGCACATCGGTTTTGATAGCCAGTGTGGCTCGAGGAAACAACAACTTGGCGCTATGGCTTCTGAAACGATTTGGGAAGGATCTAGCTTCGCTGCCGAACAATTGCCAGATGACTGCTCTACATGTGGCCGCTGCACAGGGTAAAGAGAACTTACAGATACTCCTTTTAAAATGAGAAGGCTCCGATGATGTGTGGATCAGGGTGAAGTTTGCTAGAAAGAGAGCATAGCGAGAAGAATATCCAAGCTTTTTGTAGCAAAATTGTTCTAGAGGTTAGCTACCACCTCCCGTATCGTGAAGAAAGTTTCACTTCTGAAACCAGCACCTTATAATTGTTTTCATCAAGGTTTCTTCTATGCTATTCACTCATCTTGCCTAAAATTACCAAGTGTCAATTACGCTCGTAACAATGTATCAATCCCCACATCCCTCATTCAGTTCCAGCATTTCCCTCATTCTATTTTACTTAAATGCAGAACTCGCATGCCATCGAGTGACACATACAAAACCGATTTTCCTATTCCAAAATCGTTTTTAGCTTCAAATGAACTCTCTCAGGAATGCTAAAATTCTTGGCGGAGTGCAGAACTTTTGACTGAAGTACCCCCATTCTCTTTGAAATCTTCAAAAAATACTTGAATCATTTCGAGATCATGTAGCAGGTGCATGCAATATTGCCCCGCCATAAGCATCTAAGCATTAAATCGAGAATTCCTCAACAATCCTGTCTCTACATTGACCTAAAAGATTTCGTGAAAGTTCAGTCGGTGTCCTTCATCGGAATTGTTTTCAAGTGGAGAAAGTCTCGAAGTAGCATTCGGAATTCTTTCAAGACTACTCTACAAAAAGCTGCCAACAGTAAAAAATGTACCTCATTTTTATTAGCATATCATGGTTAAGGTTAAGCGGCTTGGCAAAATTTCGTGAATTTCTTAAATTCTGCTGTTTGCAGCAAACTTGGAGTACATCAAGGATGCCACAAGGTTGGATCCAAAATCTGTCGACGCACGGGACGCATTCGGTACAAACTCGCTTTTTCATGGCCACAACTTAGGCAGCCAATTTAGGTTGTACTCCGTGTGCTTATGCCGTACAAGGAGGCAATATCGACGTTGTGAGATACTTCGTGGAAAAGGCTCATGCCGAAATGGGAAGTGTCAGTCGGAGAGGTAAGGCTGACTTGCTATGGTTAGAAATTAATCAGTATTATTGAAAATACTCTCTGTTTCTTGTTGACAGGGTACTCAATAGGACTGTATTAGAATGCATTAGAGGAGAAATTTTTGAATTAGCAAATTTTGCAGCTTACAAGGGAAGTCACTTAACTTAGGTCGGGCTTTTGAAATGAGACACATATGGTTGGAATCAGCTTGAAACGCTGATTTCAAATCTGCTTTCCTTAGCTGCGAAGCATTCTTCTGAAGCGAGTTATGAGCTTTTCCTGAGCAAATTTTGTGTGTTGGCCGACCTAGGCATGCTACGGTATCATCATCTAGGTAGTGCTTCAAATGCATATTATACCCTATCAAAGCCAAATGGCTCAATTTGATGTTATTTTGATTTTCCACCACTTTTTGGGCATTTTCATCCAAAAACCTTCTTTCCATATTCAGTTGTATGTCAATGACACATACTAAAAAAGCTCATAACTCGCTTCAGAGAAACGATTCGCAGCTAAGGATAGCATATTCAGAATCAGCGTTCCGAGCTGATTCTAAATGTATGTGCTTCATTCAAAAGCCCGACCTAAGTTAAGTGAGTTCCCTTGTTAGAACTTCCATTGAAAGCATGTTAAAAACTTGCCGCTATCCCTGAAGTTCCGTGCTGATATAAACGTGGGCGCGCCGTAACAACTGACGTTCCGGACGGCGTTAGAATGGAGCTGGAAGAGCGCTGGCACAATGCCAGCACGGACAACTCTCAACTCTGCGACGCTGCAGAAATGGATCTTACGTTAAACCATTCAGATAGATCCTTAGTTCCAGTATCCAACTTTACTCTCACTTTCCGAGACTGATGAGTCCAGAAGCAAAAATTAGTGAATTTTTGAAATTTCAGGTCAATCTCTACTGCACATTGCATCGCTTTGCGGTCATGAGCACATTGTTCGCTGGATTCTGAATCGTGCCGGTAACAACGTAATTCTATGGCCGACACTTGACAATGCAAATGCTGTACATTGTGCTGCGTGTAAGCTTCTTTCACTAATGTTTGCTACTCCTCTTAACTGTGTAAGACCTTGAGTCTCGATTACAGATAGCGGTAGCGTTCCTGTGCTGCGACTTCTTCTACGACCATGGTCTCGAAAGAAGCGAAAAGCAGTGCTGGCGAAACAGGATTGTAGGGGAAACACTCCCCTTCATCTTGCAGCGATGAACGACCATGCCGATGCGGTAGTCTACTTGGTAAGCTTAGTTATCTCGGGAACGATCATATTATAGACTATGTTGAAAATTTGAATTGCTCCTAGAACATCATAATATACTAAAAATGCGCTAGTTGGTCTGCAGCTGGCAATAAAAGGCCTCTTGACATACGCCCAGTTATCTGGTGACGGTAGCACATTATCCTCATAAACGTGTGGCAGGAATCTAATGCCTTTCATGCATCTAGCGTATGTAAAGCCTGTGTCAATCGCGTACTCGCTTGTCCATATGCGGTTCGCACGCAAAGGCCCCCGCGCTGCGGTTGCGTAGTTCTTGCACAGAAAGAGTACGTAAACACAGTGTATGCTATGTGCCAATTACGTACTCTTTTAAAAGGATCGAACTCAAACAACAAAATTAATTCCTTTTCTGTTTTTCGTTATTTATCAAAAGAAATAAGATTGGATGTTTTTGTGGTATTTTTGCACTACAAGAAACATCTTTTTCAACAAGCAACTTGTGCTAAAATGTTAGTGCTACTACATAGGTAAAAATCTTGCGTGCTAACGGATTGTCAGTGATACGAATATCGTTGAAAACATATGAAATAACGATGAAGAAATATCATTATACCAAAAGCAAACCCTTATGCCATTACAATTTACCTAATAATGCAACGCCAGTTTATAATCTTTATTTTTAGCTTGAATCAGATGCAAACCCCTTGGCGGTAAATGCATGCGGATACAGCCCTCAGGCTATCGCTAATATGCGCGGTAACCCTCAAATGGCAGCATTCATCGCTGGATTCAATGGTGCAAATCGCTGCAGATGATTTTGTTGAAAGTTCATAATTATGGTTTTTTTCAGCAAAAAATCCTCAACCAATTTCACAGAGAACGCCGTTGACGGTGGAGACACAGAGCTTCCCGGCGGAGCGCTCCACTACTGTACCTCTTTCACCGGTGATCAAGAGGACGATGTCACCAAGAGATTCGAGCTCAGGATATTCCTCGAATGCCGAGTACTACATGGAATCACCGTAGTTTCAATGCCTTTCCTTTGCAGGAAGTTATTCCATCCTTTTCAGAATCGATCGGGCTGAAGTAGTCCGTCAGAGGATGCAGTACGTTGAAGACCATCCAAGTTCCTATCAGACAAGTTCACCCAGAAGCGAAATCGAGTTGGAAGATGATGGAGCGGAAGTGATACGTAGAAGAATGCGCTATGTTGAGGACGATACGAGTTCGTTGAAGGATAGCGCTGCACAAACTGACAGAGACAGTCTTGTGGATCATATCAAGGTGAGAGCCATTTGGAGTAGTTCCCTTGTTATTAGAAGGCTCAATAGTCAACCTAAAAAACTTGCTTACTTGGATTTATCCAATGCGCTGATTCTGAAGATCTAACTTAGAGAAAGCAGCGACAAAAGGAGCTCTTTTAAGGCCCTTTATTTGAGTTTGGACGGATAGGACAGTCCTCGCAAAAGTTGGAGAGGCACAGCCATTACAGGAACCCTTATGACAATTTTGCGGTATACCGCCTCCAACTCGGACTGTCTCTCTCCTCGTTCGTTCCACTGTAGTCCATGGGTCCAGATGTGAAGCTCTGCAGGCAACCTTTTCCGATCTTCGCGCTGAAGTCACCGACGATGACATTATAGAAGATGTGCTCTTCTCTGTGAAACTTCTCCAAGTCCATGTAGAAGGGCTTGACTTCGTCTTCGTCGTAGCTTGATGTTGGGGTGTACGCTATAAAGACCGTCAAGGCTGGAATCGATCAACATCGTGATATTCGTAAACGCCCAATCCTGGTCAGGCAAATCACCGAAACTTCCGCAGGACAAGTCAAATTTGCAGAAGTTCCGCAGGATTTTGTCATTGTTGCAAAAATGAAAACGTTGAAAAATCGAACTTCCGCGGGATTTTCATGCCAAACTGGTTGAAAATCGGAACTTCCGCAGGACCTTCTTCAAAATCTTCTGCGGAAATTCCGAAAAATGCCAGGGGTTCCGCAGCGCTTTGGCCTGCCAGAACTTCCGCAGGACTTTGAATATGTTGTCTCGTGATGTTGCCTCGCCAACAACTAGAGGGCATTATCGAACATGTCAGCCGTAGCCCAGGGGATAGTAGTTGGGTATCACAGTCAATAGAGTGAGGATCAAAGCTCGCTTCGGTGTTCTCTTTTGCTGTTGTGGTTGGCATTCTTTGGAACTTCCCAAGTACGTTTAGTGAACTTCCGCAGGTGACCCGGCGGGACTTCCGCAAGCGTCTGCGGAAGTTCCGGTCATTTGTCTGAGGGGTTCTGACTGAAATGTTCGAATGAATTGATGCTCACGGCCAAACTCGTATTGACAAGGACTCTGACACCGCCTTATTATCAAAGCAAGCGCGAGTCGCTTTTGATCGGCGTTAGCTCCACATCAGCCACTTGGAGGCACCCCACATAGCCTGCGACTAAGCGGCTGGGATTCCTGAGAGGGAGATACGTGGGCAAGTGATATAGGGGCCTGTAGGATCACGAGAGTCGGACTTGCGTACGGCCATTGCGCCCGCACGTCTGATGTCACTAAGGCAGGTGCCAGACTAATCCGCTTCAACCGGTTCGTTCGGTTCATAGGTCAAATCACTACACTGTCCAACAAAGGTGTCGAAAAGGTGGTGAACCGAATGAACCTGTTGAACAGGGTAAGTCTGGCACCTACCTGAGTCGTCGGACGCGCATCTGACGTGCACGGCGCAATGGCCGTACGCACGTCCGACTCTCACGATCCTGCAGACCCCTATACCGCTTCCAAATATGGAAAGAAAATCGCAAATTTCTCTAAGCCCGTAAGCCATCGGTCAAACCTGGAGCAATTCGGCCGAATCGAGGCGACAAGCGATTGGTAAAATGTCAGATTTCCACTGATACATCGTACGCCGATTCCAAATGCGTAGACGCATGACTTTATTAAGTTGATACAAACATGCTAAAGCTTTTTTGCTCAAAATGCATTCAAAAGATTTATGAGCGATCCAGCAACTCAAACCGTGCTACGACTGAAATCGCAGAAGTATGTCTATACTTAAGGGCCATTTTCTCGACGGCGGGGCATACTGTGTGACCGGATTTGCTTTTTTTCATGTGCAAAGAATAAGCAGCCTCACATCAAAGTTCAGAGTGTTCAGTTCTGCTGGGGTTTATGAGCTTTGTTCTAGGTCCTGGATGATGAAACTTGGGCTGGAATGGGGCTATCGGCTGTTGAACACATAGACCGAGTTCTTGAAGAAGTTGATTTGAACTGATCAATTCAAATACATCACATCATTTTCACATACAACCAGTGACCTTTTCTTCATTGCAAAAGTTGATGTTATTATAGTAGAACTAGAACGTCATTCTTCATTAGAGTTTAGCCTGCCTAAATGTTCATTTTTTCTCACAAAGCATTTCACTTGTTTATTTCGATGATGGCGTTGCTGCAATGTATCTTTCTGTATATCATTCCAATCATTCACTTTGTTATTGTAATCGCTACGAATGAAGGTTTCCACCAGTCACATATTGTTATGCACGTTGTATTCGCAAATAAACTCACAGTGCTTGCGTCCGTATAAATGGTGTTCAATCTTTCTCTATTACCGTAAGTAATATGGCAGAATCTCCATTCTGTATGCTCGTTTGTCGCCGATACTCATACGCTATTTTACCCTCGATTTACTTCTCCACATGGCTCTTTTCAGCATTTACAGATATATTTGCATTCAAATCTCTGCAGATGAGGACGCCGCTTCAAATGATTAGGGAAGGAGATACTTACATTTTCACAAATCATCTAGACGCACGAAATAATAGCACATCTGTAGTAGCTCTGTGTGAGAATAACGGCATGTTTTTCATCTGAAAAACATATTCCAACCTTCATACTTACGGTCAAACTACCGTTTTGATTTCAGAATATGTACATCCTCTAGTACAATTCCTAGCTGTTTTGGAAGTCGCCAAGACTCTCGTTATATTAATTTTGAAAGGGTTTTGTTCTACTGTAATCAGGCAGGGGTGATTGTTCTGAAAAAAAGGAAAGCACAAGCCTGATTTGCAAGGCTTGGCAATACAAATCGGGGATTTCTTAGACCTGCTTCACGTTCGATCTGAGTTAACTTGGATTCTCCGGGAATTAAGATTTAAGGCCGATCAAGCTTCGCGCTTTATCGACCTAGTTGACTGGTCCATCTCCAGTAGCATTTTTGCTGAACTGCAAAACGTGTGGGGGACATGTATTTTAGACATGTTCGCAAGAGAATTACAGCTAAATGCTCCCGCTTTGTTTCTAGATGGGTCTCGAGCAAACGCTGGCAGTGGACGCATTCTCGATTGAAGGACGAAAGCTTTAGAGATCAGAATTTTTGTGGTGCGTTCCTTACCCTTATCTAATTGCAAGATCAAACCTTGTCGCTAAACAATGTGGCAAAAGGCATGGGTTTCCCTTGGGAATCCAATTAATTCTATCCTTTTCTCCGCAGGATCAATGGATAATGGATACCAGAAATAAAAGATATGAAAATTTATGTTGCAGATTTTTCGGTTCTCAATGGGTTTTCACATTCCCATAGTTTTGGCTGTCCGTGCCTGAGATTTGACTTTGCTTTCGCAATAGCAGAATTTCCTTCTCCTGCACGCCTCTAATATTCCGAGATGTACATATTCAAATTCAAAACGGTAGTTTGAGCGTAAGTATGGAGGAATTGTTTGTCTGTACAAGGGTACAAAGTACATGGCTGGCGTGACCTTTCTTGTTTGTTATGCGATGCATAAGGATTTCGTAATGCAGTGCCGTACTTTGAACCTTGAGGCTGGTGGGATTTCGCCACAAGAAGTGATGGGCGAATTACGCCACGAGTCACCCATTCCGGTTTTTCGACTCGTCTTGACCCGCTTTCCCTCCCAAAGAAATCTGAAGACAAGTAGACACATTTAAATAGGAGGAATTCTTTTTTTTTCAAACGAGCTCTGGGACCGTAGAAAACGGAGAGCTACGGAGACTTCGCTCATAGCTAACAGAGGCGGCCTAAAGTCGGTGGCAGACGTCATCAATTCATGCATTGGCGACTCTGTGGCACTAGGAACTTTGTGCATATACAAAAGAGTGAAGAAGGCCTTTCTGAACTTTATAACTAGGTTTAGAGTCCCCCTTTCGGCTTAACCAAAACTTTGGAATGTCTTTATAGCCCACCTCATTGAAAAAAGGAAAGACCACGTCGCTTACCATATAGCAGCGCTCACACTTTTTTTGAACCTACCTCAGGAGTGGACAGCGAGATCCAAAGAGCACTACTTCGCACAGCGGGAAGAAGAAGACCACCGATACGCCATAGAACCAAGGCCTCATCTGCAGACTTAGTACATATAGGCCCGTAGTAACCCCCCCCCCCATTAATACTACTCGACCGGTGTGGGCCTACGTTGAACGTAGGACGCCTCAATCCACCATCCAGTGAGCTATTGATCTGGTTGCGGATCGCTTCCTAATCATGATAATCATATGTGTTCTTAAAAAAACAACTTGAGCCGGTTTGGTCGAACAGGCAAGCGACTGGAAGTGAACGCGCGCGGCCATGTTTCAACACCGGCTAGCGACACACTTTTGCTGTATCGCCTGCCCTCTTTGATAGGGGTACGGGTACGGGTCCGGAATCACGATTTTTCGCGAAGCGACGCCACAACGCAACCTCAAACAATACAATACTCAGCTTCCATCAGTACTCCTGTCAATGCTACTTAGGCCATCGAGTCATGTATCTGCTGCCACCCCCTTCCCCTCACCCCCTACTGTGGCGCCGTGCCACTTTAGCACCGGAGAATTATTGTGAGGCACGAAATTAAGGTGGCGGCGAGCAGCCACCGACTACTGACCTGGGGTCCTTTAATAGCGACCACTATCGCAAAATTGTGATGACCGCTATCAAGGATTCTGCCTAGCACATGCATGGATAAAACAAAAACACATTTTTTGACGAAAATTTCATGAAAAAATGAAATGATTGCAACATGAACTCAATGAATTAAATCAATAAATTCTTGTTTTGAGCAGCTTTTCGAAAAAAAAGTCAGCAAACTCTACAGAAAAGGAAAGAATCTTTTTTCCTTCCACGCCATAATCAGCTCTTCATCGACTCTCTCCTTTTTGGGCCCCGTTATTGTGCAAATTTGCGCCGATGTTGTCCTCAGTGTTAGGCAAACTGATGTTGTCGTAAGTTACTCAGGAGCAACTTATGGGAATGTTTTTTGCGTCTCGTAGTTTCCACATTGTTTGCATTACTCTAGCATCAGTTCACGTCGCAATTGATCGTGAATTGATGCAAGTGGATCAATTGACTGCAGCAGGTGGCCGGATGGCTAACTGTCAGTTCACTTGGCATGCTTATAGCATGGGAAAGTGGGCGGTTATCACTTCACATGACCTAAGTTCAACTGATGGGTTAAGTTCAGTTCACCTGAAATGATCGAGCTTTACTTTGGACCATAATCAAATGGGCTATGAAGGTCCATTCAAAATCTTCCCTGCGGGCCGCCACTGTAATATTGTCCGCTTTTCAGCCTTTTAAGCGCAATCCTGCTCGTGAACTATGTGATACATACTGTGACGCTTTCCCCCCTCAGTCTTCATCAGATTGGATCTTCACCTGCAAAGGACAATCACCTATATCAAGGATTATGCAGCTCGACAGATCCAGTTAGACATGAGTGGAGCGCACTTGGTTCGAAACGACTCACACGTGCACCTCGCTCATTTCGCGGTGGCGCAGCAACTGACCCTCTCAGAAAGGATCAGATACGGAAAAAGTGATGCTTGCTGGTAGATTGAAGCTTGCTGGTACCCTGAATGCATTCAGAGCTTATGTGGATCCTCTGTCCCATCATCATCACTATTCCACCAGTATCGGTGTTGCATATATGATCTGATTTGAATTTTCCATGTCTACAATTTATTCTGAATATTGCTCTGCAGACCGGTTTCTGTAATCTGCTTCCACGGTGTTGCAAGCTCAGCGTGTCATTGTTCTCGTGCAATGTTGCCGATTCTGTACGTCTCCTCTTACTTACTTACTTACTTAGATACTTAGATGGCCCGGCTTCACGTGACGTGCGGGCCCCAGCTCAGAAGTTTCCATTTCTCCCTGTCCCTCGCTTCTGACATCCACGATCTTCTTGGCTGACGTCGGTGGCTGCGTCCACGAGTTCCAGGTGCAAAAATCGTATCCAGCTGATTTCTCAGCTGGTCCATCCGTTCCACGAACATGTCTGCCCATCTCGTTGGTGGTCTTCCTCGGGGACGTTTTGCTTCGCGAGGAATCCACTCCGATGTTCTTAATGTCCATCTGTCGTCTGTTCTTCTCATGATGTGACCGGCCCATCGATGCTTCGCTTTCGCAACGTAATCCGCTGGGTCACGAAGACGGGACATTCTCCTCATATCCGTACTGCGAAGTCCGACGAGATGTTGTGTGTGTCGGGTCATCTTCAGAAGACTACGCTCTAGCGCTCTGTGGGTGGTCCTTAAAGCTTTCGAAGTGGCGACGGTGTCAGCCCAAGTCTCAGCTGCGTAACAGAGCGCCGGGAGAACGGTTGAGTCGAACAGGCGGGCACGAAGCTCCGGGTCCGTCAGTTGGTCGGTGGCTTCCTTCAGAGGCCCGAAGGCGGCTCAGGCTGCTCTTCTTCTCCTGTTAAGTTCTTCCCTCAAGTCGTTCTCCATGTTCATCGAACGTCCGAGATACACGTAAGAAGACGTCTCAGTGATAGGGGTGCCTTCCAATTCCATTTCTGCATCTTCGCAAAGGGCGTTCTTCATGAACTGAGTCTTCTTCCGATGGATTCGCAATCCGATCTTCTTCCCTACTTCGTTCAGTTCCTTCAGCATCGTCTCTGCTTCAGTGACACTGCTCGAAAAGAGAACGATGTCGTCCGCAAAACGAAGGTTCGACAGGAATCTCCCATCAACTCGTATGCCTCTCTCGTCTCAGTCCAGTGACTTCATCACCCACTGCAAGGCCGCGGTGAACAGCTTCGGCGAAATTGTGTCGCCTTGTCGAACCCCCTTCCCAATTGGGATGGTCAGGGGGCGATGGAATAGCCGCATCGTCGCTGTACAGTCCTTGTAACAGTCGGCTAACGTCCTCACGTAAGCTGGGTCCACTCCTTGATCGACTAGCGCAGACAGGATGGCGTTGGTTTCGACGCTGTCAAAGGCTTTCTCGTAGTCGACAAAGGTTAGGACGAGAGGCAGTCGGTATTCCCGGCAGACTTCTATGACCCTCGAAACCGTCTGGATGTGGTCCATGCAGCTGAATCCTTTGCGAAATCCAGCTTGTTCTTGGGGTTGGGCTTCATCCAGTGTCCTAGATATGCGAGCGAGGATAATCTTCGTGAAAAGCTTGTACAGCACACTCAGCAGGCATATTGGACGGTAGTTCCGAAGATCTTCCCGTTCACCCTTCTTGAAAAGAAGGACGGTTCTTGATGTTCTCCACTGGTCGGGAATCCTTTCCTTCTGAAG